ATATACATGGAAATGACCACACAGATCTCATCATCGTTGCGTTTACCAGTAGTTTACGATAATTGTAATCACAGACACAGACACAGACGCAGACACAGACGCAGACACAGACACAGACATAACCCAGACAGACAACAAGTCCCGGCTACACCGGCCTTCAAGAAAACACATGCCAAACGGAACCGAGGCTGAAACTGAAACGTGTTAGCGGAACAACGTGGCAAACCAAAGAGAGTGCAACAGCCAACACAAGGTCAACTCAAGGTCAATACATTGTCAAAGCTTTTGATTGGTGGGAGTAATGTCTTTTTATTTAACTGATTTAGCTCACTTTGCTTAAAGCGTTTTCCTCTCTGAAAATAATACAAAGGAGACATGCAGGAACTGATTTTGGAAATGTCAGTCGTTGTGTCGGGATGATAAACAGACAGACTGTCTGACTGATAAACAGACTGATAAACAGACTGATAAACAGACTGACAGATTGGCAGACTGACTGTCTGACTGTCTGACAGACTGTCTGTCAGGTGTGTCTGTATCATTACTGGTACACAAGATGATCAATGATTCAAACAAGGCAACTTATGACAGAAAGCAGGGGAATGAGACTACAGACAAGTTTTCTTTGTATCTCTCGAAAATAATATCTACATAAAACTACAAACACAGGACCGAGTTGACACATAACACATTTACAAGACATTTACCTCAGAAAAAATAACAGAATTTATAATAATAATTTAGAAAATATTTCGCTTTAGTATTCCCCATGTTTATTCTTGCTCTGCCCTCACAACTAACTTAATGTTCTGCTGCCCATTATGCATGTTCCCCACAACTAGCTCTATATACTACACCTATTCAGACATTATCCCTACAACTAGTTTAATATACTACACCTATTCAGACATTATCCCTACAACTAGTTTTATATACTACACCTATTCAGACATTGTCCCTACAACTAGTTGTATATACTACACCTATTCAGACATTATCCCTACAACTAGTTTTATATACTACACCTATTCAGACCTTATCCATACAACTAACTCTATATATTATTGCCCTTCAAACTTAATTTTCTTCATATGAAAGGACCATAATGATAGCGAGAAAAACTTTGACAATGTACATCTGCAGTGCAATGGAAGACATTACATAACTAGTGATGAGGGTAATAGTATGTAACAATAACTCTGAGGTCAAATACTGGTTGCTACTCTCCAATGGAACTTGAAGCAGAAAATCAAAACTGACTTCATCAAAGAATAATAAAACACATAAAATTAATTCATTCACAGATTGGTACTGCCCTAATCAGCAAATGTAATTATCATCAAAATTTACAATCTTTTCCAAAAATGTTTTTCATACATGAAACAATACTGGTTGAAAAGTATCTAATAGTGGTAAACACAACTGCTTCAGAAAAACAAATGTATTAAACACAATAGTTTCATAAAACAGTATATTTTACACAGAACTGTGTTCATTTAATTTTAAATGTAAAAAGAATATTTTGTGAAATTTGATTTAAATGTTCCATGGAAATGATGTACCCGTATTTGACCAGAGTAGGATATAGTTAGTAGTCACCTTAGTACTATTATCTAGAGTGGACACGGGAGGCAGAGTTCTCCTCATGTGGGAATCCAGACGAAAAGTAAAGCAAAATGTGTTAAAACAAGCGTGAGAGGTCAAACGCTGCCAGTCAAGTGGCATTCTTCCACAATTCATGAACCTGACATAACCAGGAACTCCCACAATGCTAAGAAACAAGAGGAGATATTGATAAAAAGCTTGAAGAGGAAAAAGATATTAGTCTCAAAAGGCTTGAAATATAAAAAGGATGCTATTTCAAAATGCTTGAAAATAAGTGTAGGATATTTCAAAATGCTTGAAAAGAATAAAGAATGGTGTAGTGTCTTCAAAATGCTTGAAAAGAATGGGGTAGTGACTTCAAAATGCTTGAAAAGAATGGTGTAGTGTCTTCAAAATGCTTGAAAAGAATGAGGCAGTGACTTCCAAATGCTTGAAAACAATTGGGGTGGTGACTTCCAAATGGATGGGAAGCAGGTGGGTTTTGACTTAAACCAGAAGGGAGGTAATTCAAAATTGTTGGAAAAGTAAGGGGAGGTAATCCTCGAATGCTGAAGATTGAGCATGATTGATAGGACATGATGACATGAGAATACAAATGAAATATGACTGGTCGTGGGTCATGCAATCACACCGTGTTAATCTGCCAGATGAAATGGAGGACATTACTTTATTAATTATCACGGAACATGGAAGCAATGTGGCTGTGTGCATTGCCAGAAGACACACAGACAAAGAGATTCCGGGTCAGACATGGGAAGATGAGAAAGTCATCGTAACAGTGCTAAATTATCAAAAAACTGGGTATTTTGTCCAATACAATGATGTTTCATGACTCTGAATGTGCAGTCCTTGTCTATAGGGTTGCGACAGGGTACGAAAACTGAACTCGAGTACCCGGCAGACAATACCCGAACCGGACTCGAGTACCCGTAGTTCAATGTTGTCCCACTTGTTTGTAATGCTTTTGCGAATAAAAGGTCATCAAACATCTATTGATCTATTCTAAGGTATTAATCATCGGCTGAAGATTATACAATCTTAGCCCCTTGCGTTAAAGTTGATTGTTTCTTGGCTTTCGTGCTGTTGCTGCCGGCAAGAGAAATGCTCTTATGTTTAAATCTTAGATGCTTTTTCATGGAAGTCGTCGAACTACCTGCGTAGCTGATACATATGCCACAGAGACGGCATTTGGTCTTTTTCTTTGTGTCATCAAGGTCAAAATACGCCTAAACATTTGAACGTTTGTCCGCTTTGTCATCCATTTTGAAGTGACTTATGAGTTATGAAAGGCGATTAGAGTTATCTCCCCTGAACAATTTTCAAGACTCGAGTCCTAAGCTACCCGACCCGTTATTGGGTACTCAAGTTCCCGTCGCAACCCTATCCTTGTCCATTATACAGTAACTAGAACTGGGTATATAGACTCATAACGCCTAACATCTGTGACAACTGTACCTGTCGTTAAACTGAGACCATATGATATCTATTATACGGTCTCTGTTATACCACAGTGCTGAGCCATCGCTATCGATGTTGTTTGAGACTTTAAGACATTGGAAGTGGTGGGAGCACATCACTTAAACCTGTTCTTCATAGGGTTAATTCTGTATTCATTTTCCATAATTTTTTGTTGCCAGGAGAGTAGTGTCTGTGTGAGTCTATCATCACATCACCGAGTAAATCAAAACTGCAAATACACACCACAAATTTCAACAAATGACCCACACGGTCTTTGAAAACAATATGAAAAAATGTCTCTCAAAAACCATAGGGGGCATATACTAATCATATTTTCAAAAAATGTTTTTCGTTGCATAATGATTCAATTGACATGAGTTCACTCCAAATTAATTATTTGTGCTGTAAGGACAGAGGACAACCTTGCATTACATTTGCAGAGATTGAAAGACTGGCATAGTTTCTGTGGCCATGTGTATAAACTCAGGACTGATAGAATATCAGTGATCAAATTTACACTTCCAAAATAACCTAATAACTGAGTTTAGGCCTGTTTCCTTTTCTTACATCACAAAGATTTTAGGTTTAACCTGTTGTTATCCTAAAGAAATATTAAGTATTAACTAATATGTTTTAGTCCTCAAGAGGATGAAACGATTCCAATAAAAATCGAATCAGCTGTGTCCAATCTAATCACACTCATTGAACTACAATCCTACAACTATATACAATATACAAAGATTTCTGAATATATTACATCGTCTTTAAACGTGAGCATTTCCAGTCTTTCTATCTTGAGTGTTGCATAGTTGGTGTGTTTCCATCCTGTTGTAGTGCTCAACACCCATAATCATCTCGCACCTACGACTGAGAGGAACACCAGCTCGTGACAATCAACAGTGAGTGAGTGAGTATGGTTTTATGCCGCTTTTAGCAATATTCCAGCAATATAACGGCGTGCCCTGACCCTATCCCTGACAATCCACAGGGTCTTCGTGTTACTGGACATGTACCTGTGACCTGTCATGTTACGCCGTTCTTTACTTCTGACATTTGACAAAGCGACCTACTTTTGATATATGTACTACTCCCTACAAAGCTAAGGACCACTTGATTCTTTCATACAACTATAGTTAATCTGTGATGTCATGACATGACATGACATGGCATGACATGGCATGACACATAATTATAGTAATGTGAAAGAATCAGGTGGTCCCTTTTTGGGAGTAGAATGTATGTCAGAATGACGCATATCGTGTTTATGGGAGATATTGTCACTTTTGACCTATGGGAGATATTGTCACTATTGACCTATGGGAGATATTGTCACTTTTGACCTATGGGAGATATTGTCACTTCTGACCTATGGGAGATATTGTCACTTTTGACCTATGGGAGATATTGTCACTTCTGACCTATGTTAGATATTGTCACTTCTGACCTATGGGAGATATTGTCACTTCTGACCTATGTTAGATATTGTCACTTCTGACCTATGGGATATATTGTCACTTCTGACCTATGTTAGATAGGGTCACTTCTGACATATGGAAGATATTTTCACTTCTGACCAATGACAAAGAAAAAACAAAAGGTTTCACTTCTGCCACAAGGCAAAGGGACTTAAATCTGCCACAAGACAAAAGTTATTCCCTTGTGACCTCTGACCAAAGAAATGACTTGATATGTGACATGTATGATGGCGATGATTACCATGATGATGGCGATGATGGTGATGATCGTGATGGGCGGATGAGTCTAACTACAGTGCGGCATAAGGGCACACACAGGAGTGGAAAATGCACCATCACACAGATGTTAGAAAAGTAGTTCTCAGGAAAGTAGTATTGGTAATAAAAGCATTATTAGGATGTAAATGTTGTTAAATTCTACAGCATTTCTGACACTATCGCCATAGGCTGGGCTTGTCTTACTTAATGCTATGTCACAGCGTGGCCCGGTCAAGCCCTCCAGGCAGTCACATGCCCCCGTCAACAGATCACAGATGCCCTTGTTTTTGCAGTCGCAGAAGTATTCACAGTTCGGTCCGTACTTCCCTCGTGTGCAGGCTGAAGCAAAACACATCCACATGTAAGAGAGTGAGTGAGTGAATTGAGCTTTATGCTGTTTATTCCAGTAATATCATGGCAGGTAACACCAGAAATAGGCTTCTTGTGTGACCAGCCCTGAGATAAGGGACCTTATGGGTGAAAATTCACATTTTGACTTTTCATCATATTAAAAAACTAAAGCATCTTCGGAACACAAAAATACAATTCACAAGCTTCAATTTATATTTATTACAGAGCTACATGACATCACACATGGCTTTCTTCACTGAAATTAGTTGACGTCAAACGTCTTTATGACGCAGCGCAATTGTATCCTAGCACCCGTTTTGTTCCTTTTCCTCTGGTGGGTCACATATATTGTGCTCATGTGGGGATTTTGAACTCCGGCCTTCCATGTGACGAGTGAATGCTTTTACTAGAAGGTTTCCAAACACAAGAGCAGCATGTTGGTTGGTTGCTTGCTTTGTTGTTTAACGTCGCACTCAGCAATATTCCAGCTATATGACGGCGGTCTGTAAGTAATCGAGTCTGGACCAGACAATCCAGTGATTAATATCATGAGCATCGATCCACACAATTGGGATCGATGACATGCATCAACCAAGTCAGCGAGCCTGACCACCTGATCCCGTTAGTCGCCTTTCACGACAAGCATAGTCACCTTTTACGGCAAACATGGGTTGCTGAAGACCTATTCTACCCCGGAATCTTCACGGGTCAGAGCAGCATGTAACAGTGAAAGGTGATCTAGTAAAACCTGTAAGAACAAAGGTTTTACATGGCGAACTAGGCTGCAATTTCCAGGCTCAATCCTAGCGCCATCAGTGGCTATTACAAGTTATGTCCCTTCTATGCCTCTCCTATGGACCAATCGGATTCCACCTCTCTTATCACTTGCATTTGCTTCAAACAAAACGGCGGCGCCCGGTCAAGATGATCTGATCGATAATCAAGATCTATATATTGTGATAAAACAAGTCTTGCATTGCAAAATGCATCAAATCACGTGTGCACCTTGATTAAAAACATGAAAAGATTTAGAAAATATCTGTTGACAACGAGTTAGCGGTGCACATGCTTTGCAAATCCTGAAATCGACCGAAATCTGCATGACAATTTACGACCGGGATTTCGATTTCGGAGCCCGATTTTGATTGGACTATGCATAGACTCGTTAGTCCAGCCAAATAATGTAACTCCATAATACCAGCCTAGTTCGGCAAGGATTGAAACTGGACTTTTGTAGTCAGTTAACTCACTTGCCTCGGGAAGATGGACTTTTATAGTCAGCTAACTCCCTTGCTTTGGGAAGATGACACAAGAGCAGTAAGTGAAGAGAAGTGACATACCTTCCTGGCACTGAGGTCCGGTCACGCCGGGTGGACAGAGGCACTCCCCAGTCACATGGTCACACTCGGCTGCACCACAGTTGCACTCTTCACGACATCGGAGCCCAAACTTTCCATGAGGACACGCTGCAAACACAGACAGCTTTAGTAAAGAGGAATACTGTAAGTTAAGAGTGAGTGAGTGAGTGAGTATGGTTTTATGCCACTTTTAGCAATATTCCAGCAATATCACATCGGGGGACACCAGAAATGGGCTTCACACATTGTACCCATGTCGGGAATCGAACCCGGGTCTTCGGCGTGACGAGCGAACGCTTTAACCACCAGGCTACCTGACCGCCCCTGTAAGTTAAGAGACAGTTGATGCTTCACTGTGGACATCAAATCCAATTTCAGATTTGAACATAATTTATCCCTTATAGGCCAATAGTACGGATGATTGGATAATATTAGGCACATTGTGTCGGAGTGCTTCGGTTAATATTGGCTTTTGAATTTCATAGTTTAAACATTTTTTCGAGATAAAGAGCTAGCTGAAATAAAATGCTTTCGTCATTTCTTGTAAGTAATGATGCAAACTTGTGCATGGTAGGATATTCATAATGATACAGGGGCAAATATCTTGACCTTAAGTTGGTATAAGCTGTAAATAGTGCATGATATTCATCATCTAAGTCTTCTTTACAAAAATTGCATAGACTGTCAGCAAAGTCATGGTCACTAGACATTCTATATATATATATATGTATATAGTTTCAGATTTGATATATGCCATCCTTGATTTGGAAAAATAAAGCATCAATGACAGAGAATAACCAGTCTTGATTATCCTCCGAAACAGATTCTACTGGGTGTAAAAGGCAAAATTGCGGGAAAATTGAACTGATGAGGTGATAAATGTGAGTATGGTTTTACGCCGCTTTTAGCAATATTCCAGCAATATCACGGCGGGGGACATCAGATATGGGCTTCACACATTGTACCCATGTAGGGAATTGAACCCGGGTCTTTGGCGTAACGAGTGAATGCTTTAACCACTAGGCTACCCAACCGCCCCTGAGGTGATTGGAGGACAACTTACTGAGTTCACAGCTATCGCCTGTGTAGCCTGGCAGACATTTACACTGGCCGCTGGTGGGGCTGCACTTGGCGCCGTTGACACAGTCACATCGGTCACTGCAGTAGGGGCCATGAGTTCCACTTGGACAAGCTGGAGACATACACAAGACATGGTGAGACAAGGAGAGATACAGAGAGACAGCAAGACATACATGGGACATGGTGAGATATAGTGAGACACAGAGAGACACAAGACATACATTGGACATGGTGAGATATAGTGAGACACAGAGAGACAAAAGACATACATGGGACATGGTGAGATATAGTGAGACACAGAGAGACACAAGACATACATTGGACATGGTGAGATATAGTGAGACACAGAGAGACGAAAGACATACACAAGACATGGTGAGACAAGGAGAGATACAGGGACACAGCAAGACATACATGGGACATGGTGAGATACAGAGAGACACAAGACATACATTTGACATGGTGAGATATAGTGAGACACAGACAGACAAAAGACATACATGGGACATGGTGAGATACAGAGAGACACAAGACCTACATGGGACATGGTGAGATATAGTGAGACACCGAGACACGGAAAGACACAAGACATGGTGAGACGCAGCGAGATACAGAGATACCAAGAGAGACACAGCGAGACACCAAAAGACATACATGAGACATGGCGAGACACAGGGAAACACAACAAACCATAAATGAGTTGAGGTGAGACAAAGTGAGACACACAATGTTACAGAGACATAGAAAGACAAAAGAAGATATACACAAGACAGTGACACCCAGAGATCCAGATAGACACAAGCCACACATGACACAAAGAGAGACAAGGTGAGACACAGGGAGAGACAGAGATCCAGATAGACACAAGCCACACATGACACAAAGAGAGACAAGGTGAGACACAGGGAGAGACACAGGGAGAGACAGAGATCCGGATAGACACAAGCGTAACATGACACAAAGAGTGACAAGGTGAGACACAGGGAGAGACAGAGGGAGACACAGGGAGAGATAGAGGAAGACACAGGGGGGACAGAGGGAGAGACAGAGATCCGGATAGACACAAGCCACACATGACACAAAGAGAGACAAGGTGAGAGACAGGGAGATAAAGAGTCAGAGAGACACATTCTGAAATATTTCAAAGATAATGTCTAAACAGCTTGGGTCATCATGTGACTTCAAGCAACAGTTGAATGTGGGATGATGGCCTGTTTCCCATTCACTGTTTCCCATTCACTGTTTCACAGCATTGTAGTAGAGGAGTAGTACATCAACAATATTGATTTGAAAGTATCAAAAATGTTTTAATTGGAAATGTGCCTTTAATCTTGTTAAATACCTTATTTAATTACCGGAACACACTATTTCCATGAATATATAATATTTCTCAGTCATATTACTATTAATTTTCTTAACAATTAGGAATGAGGCCTCCAGGTCTTACCCAGGTCACAGTTTTGTCCATAGTAGCCATCGACACAATGACAGCATCCGGTGACGGGGTCGCAGGCCGCCCCGTTCTGACACGTGCAGGTGTGGTTACAGTTGGGGCCGAACCGTCCACTTAAACACTGGTCATTACACTTCGGGCCCATCCAGCCCAGGTCGCATCGACAATCTCCCGTCCGGTGGTTGCAGAGGCCGTGTATGCAGTTGCACTTCATCGAGCAGCCGTCACCGTATGTGCCGTATGTGCAGGCTGAAACACAGCAACTCCATGGTTTACGACTACTCCTCCATCACCATTCCCTGAAAGCAGTCCCTCCCACCATCCTCATCCCCTGAAAATCCTCTCTTCCACCATCACAACCATCTAAAAAAACAACTCCCACCATCCTCACCCCTTGAAAACCCTCCCTCCCACATCCCACCACGAAAACCCTCCTTCCCACCTCTCTGAAAACCCTTCCTCTCATGACCCCCACTCCTTGAATACCCACCCTCATGCAATCCCCCCACCCGTAAAAAAACACTCCCTCCCTCCAGCACACCCCCTGAAAACACTCCCTCCCACCATCCCCCACCCCCTTAATAACCTCTCTCCCACCATCCCCCACCCCCTTCATACCCTCTCTCCCACCATCTCCAGCTCTATCCTGCCTCACATCATCCTCAGCCCCTGAAAACCCTCCCTCCTACCATGCATCCCCCACACCCTTAATACCCTCTCTCCCACCATCCCCCAACCCCTGAATACCCTCCCTCCCTAACATACAAAAAGACATACAACAGTTTTGAAGTTTTTGTGTTGAAACGAGCACTACACTCATGTCATGGAAAAAAAAAAAAGAAAAAAAATTCCTCAAAAAGCACCAGTTCCCCTCTATACTGATCTACAAAGCAAGTTTCAACAAAAAATATTTAACAGTATTAGAGTTCTGCTCCAGAAACGGAAAACAACTTGTTTTCATCATGAAAAGTCACGAAAACAATCAAAATAAAAAGATTAAAAATTCCAAATCATCAAAAGGCTCAGTTCCTCACTGGACTGATCTATATACCAAGTATCAACAAGAAATATCTAATGGTTTGGGAGTTCTGCTCCAGAAACGGAAATCGGACTGGTGAGGGACAAAGAGCCGGACGGACACTATGATTGCAACATCCCCTGCATCTGCAATTGTACGTATTTGCCAGTTGTGAAGATTCCGGGGTAGAATAGGTCTTCAGCAACCCATGCTTGCTGTAAAAGGCGACTATGCTTGTCGTAAAAGGCGACTAACGGGATCGGGTGGTCAGGCTCGCTGACTTGGTTTGATGCATGTCATCGATCCCAATTGCGCAAATCGATGCTCATGATATTAATCACTGGATTGTCTGGTCCAGACTCGATTATTTTACAGACTGCCGTCATATAGCTGGAATATTGCTGAGTGCAGCCTAAACCAACCAACCAACCAAGTTGCCAGCTGTCTACAGCTGAACACAACCCACCTTCCTGGCAGAGTTCTCCTTTATATCCCGGTGGACATTTGCACTTCCCAGATTTCTCGTTGCAGCGGGCTCCGTTCTGGCAGCGACAGATCTTGGAACACTTGTGGCCGTATCTGTTCTCAGGGCAGCGCTTTTCACACGTGGACCCGATGTAGCCAGCCCTGCACGTGCACTCCCCGGTTGCATTGTTGCACACGCCGCCATTCACACACTGACACATCTGTCCGCAGTTCGGGCCAAACTTTCCGTCACCGCAACCTGAAATGTTACCTTAGCCATCAGTATTGCGCGTAATGCATATAGGTTGAATTAGAATCTTGCATAGGGATGTAGCACCTGTCTTGCAAATGTGTGTAATACATCATCAGTCCTTGTGTAAAATATGAAGAGCAAACATGTGAATGTCATACATGTGTGTAGTGCATCATTGGTCACTGTGTAAAATGCAAATATCATACATGTGAATGTCATACATGTATGTAGTACATCATTGGTCCTTGTGTAAAATGCAAATATCATACATGTGAATGTCATACATGTGTGTAGTGCATCATTGGTCCTTGTGTAAAATGCAAATATCATACATGTGAATGTCATACATGTATGTAGTACATCATTGGTCCTTGTGTAAAATGCAAATATCATACATGTGAATGTCATACATGTGTGTAGTGCATCATTGGTCCTTGTGTAAAATGTGAATATCATACATGTGAATGTCATACATGTGTGTAGTGCATCATTGGTCACTGTGTAAAATGCAAATATCATACATGTGAATGTCATACATGTATGTAGTACATCATTGGTCCTTGTGTAAAATGCAAATATCATACATGTGAATGTCATACATGTGTGTAGTGCATCATTGGTCCTTGTGTAAAATGTGAATATCATACATGTGAATGTCATACATGTGTGTAGTGCATCATTGGTCACTGTGTAAAATGTGAATGTCATACATGTGAATGTCATACATGTGTGTAGTGCATCATTGGTCACTGTGTAAAATGTGAATATCATACATGTGAATGTCATACATGTGTGTAGTGCATCATTGGTCCTTGTGTAAAATGTAAATATCATACATGTGAATATCATACATGTGTGTAATACATCATCAGTCCTTGTGTAAAATGTGAATATCATACATGTGAATGTCATACATGTGTGTAGTGCATCATTGGTCCTTGTGTAAAATGCAAATATCATACATGTGAATGTCATACATGTGTGTAATACATCATCAGTCCCTGTGTAAAATGTGAGTATCATACATGTGAATGTAATACATGTGTGTAGTGCATCATTGTCCCTGTGTAAAATGCAAATATCATACATGTGAATATCATACATGTGTGTAGTGCATCATTGGTCCCTGTGTAAAATGCAAATATCATACATGTGAATGTCATACATGTGAATATCATACATGTGAATGTCATACATGTATGTAGTGCATCATTGGTCCCTGTGTAAAATGTAAATATCATACATGTGAATGTCATACATGTGTGTAGTGCATCATTGGTCCCTGTGTAAAATGCAAATATCATACATGTGAATGTCATACATGTGAATATCATACATGTGAATGTCATACATGTGTGTAGTGCATCATTGGTCCTTGTGTCAAATGCAAATATCATACATGTGAATGTCATACATGTGAATATCATACATGTGAATGTCATACATGTGTGTAGTACATCATTGGTCCCTGTGTAAAATGCAAATATCATACATGTGAATGTCATACATGTGAATATCATACATGTGTGTAGTGCATCATTGGTCCTTGTGTAAAATGTGAATATCATACATGTGAATATCATACATGTGTGTAGTGCATCATTGGTCCTTGTGTCAAATGCAAATATCATACATGTGAATATCATACATGTGAATATCATACATGTATGTAGTACATCATTGGTCCTTGTGTAAAATGTGAATATCATACATGTGAATGTCATACATGTGTGTAGTGCATCATTGGTCCTTGTGTCAAATGCAAATATTATACATGTGAATGTCATACATGTGAATATCATACATGTGTGTAGTGCATCATTGGTCCTTGTGTAAAATGTGAATATCATACATGTGAATATCATACATGTGTGTAGTGCATCATTGGTCCTTGTGTAAAATGTGAATATCATACATGTGAATATCATACATGTGTGTAGTGCATCATTGGTCCTTGTGTCAAATGCAAATATCATACATGTGAATATCATACATGTGAATATCATACATGTATGTAGTACATCATTGGTCCTTGTGTAAAATGTGAATATCATACATTTGTGTGATACATCATCAGAGTGACTTTCTTCATTTTCAGATACTGCATTAATCTAGACTTGCCCACTATTATAGACTTGCATGGGCTGTATTGGATATATTTGTTTCAGGATCGGTATGACAGACTACGCTCATAGATACATCCAAACTTCTTATTCACCAAAAAAACAACAACAAACAAACAACTTCTTATTGACCATAAACTTTTAGTCATGTGATATTAACAATATTCATATTGAGAAACAATCATACAATCATGCATTAAAAAACCCAACAGATTATGCACATCACATAATACCACGTCACATAGGTTATATGTACATATATATAGGTAACAGAAACTCATCACTGTAAACGGCATGCATGTTCAGGGCTTATACTCCTCTTCAGGCAGCCCCTGACTTGTATATTCCACTTTACAACATGACGGCAGGTGTTACCATAAGGCAAGACATGCATACTCTCTTTGCGAATACCTGGAGTCACCAATGACTTTAAGAGATCCAGTCATATAATTTTTACTACTATTTAACCTTTCATGCCAAATGGTATCTGTTTCGGCACTTATTCTCTGGTGTTGATATTTTTTTAATTGACATTTTAGTAGATCTATGGTTATTTGAATTGTAGAAAATAATTCCAATTGTTTCAAGTGATTGTGATTTCTCCTTGTTTTCATTAAGGGACCAGTTCAAAAGTTCAATGTGGGATAAAAAAAATAAGTCCCTAATCTTGATTAACTTTCGTTTCAGAGAAGTTCAGTTTTATAAAATTCAGTCCTTGTATCTGCTGTGGTCTATACAGGCTGATAAACTGGTGTTATTCAATAGGACAAACTGGACGGAAGAATATATGGGTGATATATGTGATATATGGGGCAGTAATGACCACATACAAATAAAACATTTGACAACAATACTGTTATATGGTGTGACAATGTACAACAGCACTGCTCCATACATACCCAGTGTCCAGGAGGCTTACAGGAGGAAATAACAAGCTTAGACCAAGAAGATACTATATGGTCGACAACTAGCTTAGACCAAGAAGATACTACATGGTCGACAACTAGCTTAGACCAAGAAAATACTACATGGTCGACAACTAGCTTAGACCAAGAAGATACTACATGGTTGACAACTAGCTTAGACCAAGAAGATACTACATGGTCGACAACTAGCGTAGACCAAGAAGATACTACATGGTCGACACCTAGCTTAGACAAAGAAGATACTACATGGTCGGCAACTAGCTTAGACCAAGAAGATACTACATGGTTGACAACTAGCTTTGACCAAGAAGATACTACATGGTCAACAACTAGTCTACATGAGATAGATTAGATATCTACGTAGAAAAGAGAAGTAGAACCTTGGTACTACACAGAGGCTAACGTAGCCCTAGTTGATGAATAATGCCTAGACAGGATAGCAAGTGGAACATTTTCAGTTTGATTTGTAATTATTTATAGTTCTTAACACTTAAAGTTTCAAAAAATAATTCGAGTTATGTAGCTTCACAGATTGTAATCTACAAAGAGATTAATCTGACAGTGGCTTGTAAACTGATATCTTGCTAATCTGGAAAATCTGGTAGATACATTGTGGGTAGAGTGAGTGAGTTGGGTTTAATGCCGCTTTTAACAGTATTCCAGTTATATCGTGGCGTGTCAGCTTAATGTGGGAGGAAAGCCCAAAGTGATGCAGGTCTCAGACGTTTACTACTTTGGTGAAACCCACGAACACGGGTATGGTGCTGACAAACCTAGAAACATAATTGGGGGGAACCGGGATTCGAACCGACAATCGTAGGTTTCTGGAGTGCCCAAGGGATGCAACTCTGCACAGCGAATCATGGCACCTTAGACGACTGGTGCACACATGCCCCCTGTGGGTAGAGAGTTACATCACGCACATCATTTGTGTCGTGTATATACAGGGCCCGACTTGATTCAACTTGCACCATGAAAACCTAGTTGCACCAGGCAAAATCAGGTTGCACCCTGGTCCAATAAATTTAACAAAGTTGAATCATGGATGCATAAACTAGTCTAAATAAGTCAAATCTCGGATCTTTGACGACTGTGTTATGAATTACACGTAACACAGGGATTAGTGATGTAGTATGGTAAATAAAGCTTAGAGATATTGAGTGTGCTCAAAGATAAAAAAAAGGGTTATACAGACAAAAATATGATTTTATTTTACATGCACTTTGTGCATGTGGACATAAATATTACGTTGCATTTTTCGATAATAGGTTGCACTGGTGCATGTTTTATATAGCTAAATCGAACCCTGATATACTTATTGTATAAACATATGAATTACCCCCAGTGCCTGTGATGGGTATAGCTGGTCTGGTTAATGGGAGTCACTGTATTGCAAAATCTCTTACTTACAAGCAACCTTGCTACAATTTAGTATCTACAGCGGATTGAAACTGTGATATCATCTTTGCTGCAGAAATATTTACATCTACATATTTTTCCAATTCTGAAGATACACAAAGGTGAAGTGGCAGAAGGTGGAGAGTTCTACAAGTTTGAACAAGTTCAGAGGTTCACCTCTAGCGAAATACGACCACACAAATACACAATCTGTTGCCATAGTTACCTGCTTCTAGTCGAGAGAAGCCGTCGTTGTCCTTGGTTTTCCTGTTCCATCCCTTCCTACCGAGCTTATACTTAAACAGCTTTCTACCCTGCCTCCGCGCTGCGTGCCAAACACTCCCGCCATTAGTACAAGGTCAAGGTCAAGGTCAAGGTCAGAGAAACTGAGAGGAACGCTTCCGTCAGGGTTCAAAATAAAATATGTGCCATATAAGTCAGCCTGATTGATCTCATTTAATCAGACAATACAGATCTTGTCCATTGAATAATTTGAAGAGCCAAAAAGGCAAGGCTGCCTTGGTAACCTCAGTTATCCAGACAATACAGATCTTGTCCATTGAATAAGTTGGAAGAGCCAAAAAGGCAAGGCTGCCTGATTAACCCCAGTTTTCCGGACAATACCAATCTTGTCCATTGAATAAGCTGGAAGAGCAAAAAAGGCAAGGCTGCCAGATTAACCCCAGTTATCCAGACAATACCCATCTTGTTCATTGAATAAGCTGGAAGTGCCAGAAAGGCAAGGCTGCCTCATCAACCCCAATTATCCAGACAATATAGATGAGTTCCAGGGACCGTGACTTGTCCAACACGATGCTAACCCTTTGGTCTAATAGTGTTTTTTCAGGAGCATCCTTTAAAGAATTAACATCAATGACTTTTACTTTGAACCCTGTCATGGTTTGGCAGATGTGGTTAGGAATTGGTTTCTCTCAGTTTCTGTGTTACAAGCAAATAGCAAAACAATATCAGGTTTTGTCAAGACCCGTGCAGCTCGAGGTTCACTTAGTGTCTTGTCAAGCATCTACTTCTGATGGAGTCGAGACAATATGATTGACAGAGGACATCTGCATGCTTGTGATTGATGTGTTTAGAAGTGGTGGTATGAAATTAAAAAAATATTCAACTTTGTTCTTTGTTTCTCAGTTCTTTGCATAACCTCTGCTGTACCCGGGTCTTGACAACACTCAGCATCCTCTAGCAGCATCAGTAGCATTGCAGTAGTGTACTATACACCTGGAAAAAAGTTAAGCACCACCCTTCTTTTCTCCTATGTGTCTTTTGAAAACATCTATACATGACATTGTTCTCGTTTTGATGACTGTCAGATACCACTGTCAGTTCTGAAACATGTTACTAGATCATCAGTTCCATTTTCTGTATTTCACTTATTTTGTTCACAAAAGTAACTTTTTCATCAGATTAACAAAAGGAACAACTTAAAAAAACAGCTTTCTTATACGGAAATATATATACCGTATTTGACGTAATAAGCGCCCCGCTCTAATAAGCGCCCACAGCGATATTTGCTAATATATTGGCCAGTGAACAATCCCAATTAGCACCCCTTCTGATTGATCAATGTACACAAGACTTATTTATTCGTGTATAATACGCACTCGTGTGCTATATGCACCCTTAATTATGGGCAATTAAATTCTGGAAAAATATATCTGTCGTATGTAAACATTTCAGAAACCATGAAATTTATCTTTCGAATCTCTTTTTTTTCACCAAAATAATATTCTAATAAGAGCCCCCTATTTCTAATTTTGAGAGCCCTCTGGGCGGTTATTACGTCGAATACGGTAGTACCAGTATGTGGTGCTTATGTTTCTCCCAGGTGTATTTACATACATATATCAATAAGTTATTTGTCATTTCTCTTGAGATTATGTACAGTATTTAACTACATGGGTGAGAGATTTGCAGCTGATCAAACAGACAACTTTTATGATTTTGTAAAAAAAGAGCTCTTCTGAACTTGTCATAAATGAAATGCTGTTTACCTGAAAGAAGTGATCAGTGACACACCTGTACAGCAGGTACAAATCTCTCACAGTGTTTAAGTTGTGTTACATCCATCTACCTGACCTCGATGAGATTGATCTAACCTGACACATCAACTTCACCAATGTTGATCTAAGTGCTGACAGATACTGACTGTATTAGTGATGATTGTCCATGCCTAGAGTGTGAGAGGTGCTATTATCCATGCAACTGTGCACATGAGAGAGAGTGAGTGAGTGAGTGAGATCTTACCCGATTTATTTCTTACATATTAGAGTTGACTTAATCCATAAACCAATTAAATAAAGTCTGGCGTTGGATTAAAACTGATTAAACGTGCAACATGAGCATGTGATGATAACCGATATTTTGACTGCACCTGCAGTCGCACATTTAATTACATTATTGCAATAAGCAGAATTGCTGTCAGGCGCAAGGTGTGCCGAGGCACAGGCCTCCATAGCAGAAGCTCAAACCATCGTCAGCTTGTTAATATTTTTGTGTGTCTTATTTCCCTCTGGTTGAAATCTTGGAATGGACATTGGGTCTAAAAGGTGAGTGAGTTGGGTTTAACTCCGCTTTTAACAGTATTCCAGTTAAATTACGGCGTGTCAGCTTAATGTGGGAGGAAAGCCCGAAATGATGCAGGTCTCAGATGATTACCACTTTGCTGAAACCCACGGGCATGGGTATGGTGCTGACAAACCTAGAAACATAATTGGGGCGAACCAGGATTCCAACCCACAATCATAGGTTTCTGGCGTGCCCAAGGGACACAACTCTGCACAGCGAATCACAGCACCTTAAACGACTGGGCCACCTGTGCCCTGAGCCTAATAGGTTTAAAATAGGTTACTAAATGGTGTTAAAAATGAATAGTCCCAGGGCCCTTGAGGTTGTTGTTGTTGTTGCATTAAGTGTTTAAGAGGTCGCCTTCTGCCTAAGCAATTTCGGCTGACCTGTCCCTCTTTGGGACTCCTGTGTGTGAGAAGGGTACACATATCTATTGTGAGTTCGGTGTTCACATAATATCTGTTTTTGTATTGATATGATTTCTATTTTCTTGTATTGATATGATTTCATTTTTATCCTTGGCTGCTCTGTTTATATACGTTCGTGTAGCTGTCCATCTCTCAGAAAAAGAGTTAGTTTGGCCTTCGCTATTGCATCTCTTGGCTTTAGGAGCCCTTGAGGTAGGTTCCGATCGTATTTGTATCAAGAAATCTTTAATGTTTCACAATTAGCTGACAAGGATCACTTGACATTCACGCTTCATGATGTACAACTGGTCCAGTATTAAGCATGCTGGAGGAGACAGTATTATTTAAATATGTTTAGCTATGTCTCTTTTTTGACAAATTTGAAATATTTCTGAGATTGGTTGATTCAAGCATGAATTGCGAGGATAGGAAATATTTTCTCTTGAAGCCAGCACCTAAGCTACAGTGAGAGAGGCGATAGAAACACCAAGTACGCTGGCAGTCGTGAGCAATACCATCAAAGCAATTACATCCTCCATTCTTCCTGGCGCTATGATTATCAGACTCTTTTAGAAGATTCTGTAAATCTTGAAATTAATGCGAGCGTGAATTAAATGCGAAAAATGTGAGTGGTCTTTACTCGCATTATTTACCTTTAACTTCGCATTTATGTCTCCAAAATGACTATCAACAATAAGACGTCCTCACTGCACACTTTGGATAGCGGAAATACCAATTTGAATATAAACACAAACACGGTTTATTGAGCAGCAGTTGTAACAAGTAAATAACAATGTCATTCAAAGAAAAGGGGTCAAGAGTTCTACCCACGCGTGTCAAGCTTGTTGACACCTTCTCCGCATACCAATCAGTGAACTGTTGTTGGTTCAGTTATTTTATTGCCTTTGAGCTTCCTTAATGCCAGTCAACAGAGTAAACATATAAACTGTGTGCTGTTTTAAGGAAAACACTGTATATTGTTTTTACGAAAGTGCTCTACTCAGTGCTAATAAGTGCCTCTATTAGCTGTTTGATTGGATTAAGGTAGGATATGTATTCAACTTGGGATGGGGTGGGGGAGTCGCATTGATATTTAGTCGCATTTTTGGCTAGGGGTCAGCAGTCGTATTAATTTGGAGACGCATTAATTTCCAGATTTACCGTAGCTCTAAAACATCAGCTCATGGCCATCTTGCTACTAAAATTAAGTCTATGTTGAAGTGTGGCGTTTGGATCCGTTGTTGTTATAGTGGTTTATTTGGTCCGGTCAGCAAAAGGATCACCCAAACCAAGCATCAGGGATGGAGTTAATTACAAACACTGCAATGACAGTCAGAGAAGAAAAGGCCAATGCACCCTCAAGGCCAATGCACCATCAAGGCCAACAATCCCTCAAGGCCAACAATCCCGCATTCTTAAGTAAGTAATTTTCCATGCAATTCTCAATCCTTGACATGCAACCCTCATTCACGATGTTAACAAACAGTTGCAGAGAGTCATGTACCCTGATCATGTGACTTGATCATGTGACTTGATCATGTGACCTGATCATGTGACTGTGTGTTTACCTTTGCGGCAATCCTTGCCCTTTGGACCAAGAGGACATATGCACTCCCCTGTGATGTGGTGGCAGACCATGTCGCCCTTACACTCACACCGTCCACGACACTCCGGGCCAAAGTTACCCTTGGGGCATTCTGGGAAAAGAAAACAGCAGAAATCCTCACACGAAACTCAAAGAAAAGAAGCATTAAAGACAGCCATTCTTGACCTACATTCCACATAGACACATTTTTATTATTTTATGTTTCACAGATTTATTCCAAATTTCCCACACATGTTGGTCGAAATTAAAATAAAAATAAATGTCAATTACTTATTTATTGATATGAAAGTTATTCTGCTGTGGAGTTAAAAGTGCAGCTGGCTTCTTGAATCACTGATGGAGATGAAGACATAGAATTTATATATAACATTAAGTGGGAGACAAAATAAAAATAACTATTTTTTATGCGGGCCTGTAAAACAAAAAATAAAATATGTGTGGCCTTAGCTATGCAATTTGATGCTGTTTGACAAACATGTCCATGAATTTCATCAACAAAAAAACTTTTAGTATAATCAGTAGGCATATTTTAGATTGAAATAATGAGTAAGTTTATGGAACTATTATTAATTAATATTTGGCTCAAATTCTGCATCGACAGCATCTGTTTCCATGGCAACTCACATTTCTCGTCATCATCCACATCAGACTTTTCTGTACATCAAATTTATCTACAGCATGTGTTTCCATGGCAACTCAAATTTCTCGTCATCATCCACATTTGTACATCACATTTATCTACAGCATGTGTTTCCATGGTAACTCACGTTTCTCGCAGGCGCTTCCAGTGTATCCCGGCCGACACTTGCACTCTCCAGTCACGTGATAACAAGGCTGCTGTTCCCCGCACTCGCAAGCCTCCTTGCAGTGGTTGCCATAGAAACCAGGTGTACAGGCTGAATTTCATGCAAACATAAGTAAGAGTTGTATCTTTTTTATTGTGTATAGGTTCAATAAAAAAATATTACTGTCATATCCTTTGGAAATATCGTGTATTTCTTTTTGTTCGCACATAAAAGGTATTGATGCACTTTCTATTGTATTGTCAAATGTTGTACCAGCTAAAAGATATTATTGAATGTCATTGCAATAATGCCAATATAAAAACTTTCACCAAAAGCTGATAAATTGTATCCAACATAGTACAGTAAACTACAGTTATATCGAACTCAAAGGGACCACTAATTTTAGTTCATAATAACGGTGAGTGAGTGAGTGGGTGAGTTGGGTTTAATGCCGCTTTTAACAGTATTCCAGTTATATCACGGCATGTCAGCTTAATGTGTGAGGAAAGCCCGAAGTGATGCAGGTCTCAGACGTTTACCACTTCGGTGAAACCCACGAGCACAGGTATAGTGCTGACAAACCTAGAAACATAATCGGGGCGAACCGGGATTTGAACCCACAATCATAGGTTTCTGGCGTGCCCAAGGGACGCAACTCTGAACAGCAAATCGCGGCGCCTTAGACGACTGGGCCACCCGTGCCCCCATAATAACAGTAGTTTGTTATAAGCATATATACAACAAACATATATACAACAAATATATACAGCAAATGGCCGCGACCCTAAACCAGTTTGTTATATCAGTCAGCTTGTCATAAGTGTGTTAATTATAAACGTAGTTTACTGTATATGTAAATAACACATACCAAGTTTCATAGAAAAATAATATATTTTGATATTAGGTATGTGAGTTTTCCTCTGTGTACTGGGTACCCGGCAGACTTACGTTGGTCACATGTTCGTCCGGTCCAGCCTTGGTTACACTGGCACATCCCTGTGACCGGGTCACACACGGCGTCGTTCTCGCACTCACAACTCATGGAGCAGCTCTCGCCGAAGAACCCCTCCTGGCATGCTACAAGATCAAGGTCAAGGTCATTGTGGTGTAAACATGATCGTGCAGCAATGGAGAGTCGTACACTGCCCTGATGTTGAAAATAATATACAGATTACGTCTTCTTGCTAAATTTAGGTTTTGCCCCCTACTCATCTGCCAAAAATGTGTTTTTCACCTTCATTGTGCAGCACGTCTGAGACATCTCTGATTTGGGGGCAATCAAAATTTATTTGCATCAATGCTGCATTATCGAAAGTTTACATGCAACCCTGAATATTCTTCTAAACACTTTTTCCTTTTAGTTTTGTTAAAATACACAACCTTATTTTCATGTTAATAAATACGAAGCTTTTTCATGATACAACATTGAAAAAGATATTGCTTTCAAGACAGGTCATCAGCAGAAATTCTATGGTGCTTGGATGCTGTATCATAAACTTTTCGAAAAAGAGGAGCAGCTTTCATGTTGATTTTAACTTTGTACTTAAGACTTTAATGTTTGAGACCATGCACTGCAATATGATATATAAACTTTAATAGTTTATGCACACTTGATATATGCAGTATGTTTGTATTACTGGAGTGACTGTGTGAGTGAGAACTACCGTATTCGACGTAATAAGCGCCCCGCTCTAATAAGCGCCCACGCTGATATTTGTTAATATATTGGCTAGTGAACAATCCCAATCAGCACCCCTTCCGATTGATCAATGTACACAAGACTTATTTATTTGTGTATAATACGCACACCTGTGTTATATGCACCCTTAATTATGGGCAATTAAATTCTGGAAAATATATATCTGTCGTGTATAATACGCACAGACTTTTCTTTTGTATCATTTCAGGCTGTCAGCGTAAACCACGAAATTTACAATCTTTCAACACTTTCACCAAAATTATATTCTAATAAGAGCCCCCATTTCTAATTTTGAGAGTGCCCTGGGTGCTCATAACGTCAATTATGGTATGTTATTGTCTGTAAAAGAAAATAAGATAAGTTGTGCAATATGTCATGGGGTTTCTGCAGAAGTGGATTTATGTTACAGGTACTTCTTTTTGAAAACAATTAAAAACAAAATATTAAAAAAAAAGAACCAAAAAAACCTCCAAATTCAAGAAATTAATTTTTACATCAACCCAATTATTTTTTATCTCTTTATCTCTTGTCTCCTGGTTTTCTGTCTGAACAAATCAATTCAAGAAGAAATTCATGTGAAGCTTTGGTAGCCTCTGATCTGGATGACTCTTTACTTACTCTCATTACACTTTTCACCGATAAATCCAGGGTCACATTTACATCTGCCGGTGAACCTGTTGCAGGCCTTACTGTTCAGGCAGTCACAGGGACGATCACAGTCGGGGCCGTGGTAGCCCTGGTCACACGCTGGAAGCACAGGATTATAGGATATACTGTAAAACGTGAAATTAATGCGTCTCCAAAAGAATGCGACCGCTGGCCCCTAGCCAAAAATGCGACTCAATATGAATGTGACACCCCCTCCTCTCAAGCATCAGTGGATTTATATCTAAACAAAATGTCCTCCGTCAGGTTTAGAGGAGAATCCTCACCTTAATCCAACCTTACATTAATCCAATCACACACCAAATAGCACCACTTATTAGCGCTGAGTAGAGTACTTCAGCTAAAACAATGCACTGGCTCGTGCTCGCCTTTGATGTAGTCGCAAAGAGCAAAGACACCGTGTTGGGTGGCGTCTGTCTGGACTTGCAGGTGTGATCAGTGATGACATGAGTGAGAAGAACGCTTGTCTTGACCCCAGCAGTGACAATTCATAGGATGTAATTAGTGTTTGAATGACATTGTTTATATACTTGTAACAAGTGCTTCTCAATAAACAAAGATAGTTGTTTGTTTTCAGCGTATGTCTAAGTTGGTATTTCTGCTATCCAAAATGTCTTATTGTTGATGTAAATGCAATGGTTAATAATGCGAGCAAAGACCACTCGCATTTTTCGCATTTAATTCACGCTCGCGTTAATATCAAGATTTACAGTAGTCATTTGACAAAATCATTTTTGTAACAGATTTGTTTCTTTTTTAACACTGCACTCAGCAATATTTCAGCTATTTGGCAGCGGCCTGTAAATAATCAAGCCTTGACTGGACAATCCAGTGATTGATATTGTGAGCACCGACCCACTCCTTTGGTGTATGATGACACACAATCAACCAGGTCGCTGAGCCTGACTGCTGGGGACCTACATTAACCCAGAATACCTCTGGATGTTGGGAATTGAACCCAGGTCTTCGGCGTGACGAGCGAACGCTTTAGCCACTAGGCTACCCGACCGCCTCCTTGTTACAGAAGATCTAAGATCCCCGCTGGACATCACAGTTCTGTGGAAAGACTCTCACCTCTCTCACAGGCAGTTCCTGTCCAGCCCTCAGTACACTTGCACTTGCCGTCGATGTGGTTGCACGTCCCCTCATGCAGACAGAAGCAGCGCAGCATGCAGCTCTCGCCGTACATGCCGTCGGGACAGGCTGCAGGGGCAACAGAAATACACATCAGTTCCAGAAAGAGATGCATAATATATTATTTGATGCAAAAATTACTGCAAAGCATTATAGGATAAGATTAGACAAAGCCGTTTGCATAGCCTGTATTAGAATGTGTATTAGAATGTGCTGTGCATCAGTTGTATATTGTATTGTCAGCCATTTCTTAAAGGAAATGTTTAAGCTGGTGATTTCCATCTTCCCAGGGCAAGGGAGTTAACTGACTATAAAATTCCAGTTTCCACCCTTGCCGAACTAGGCTGAGATTATAAAGTTACATTTTGGCTGGACTAACGAGTCTATGCATAGTCCAATCAAAATAGCGAACCGAAATCGAAATCTGGTTCGTAAACTGTCATGCAGGTTATGCTTATCTCAAGCTCTGGCTAACTATTCTGCCATGCTCTCATTGACCTTCACCTTGAGTACCGGGTAACTGTCATGGAGCAAGTATATTCATCACATAATGGACAGTGATGTTGATGTGATAAACTTTAATTGGTATCAAGATCTGATAAATATGTAGCCAACTAGCAGGAAGTATTTTGTCAATACAGTCAATGTCTGCTTGCTCAATAAACTATTGACTAACACTCCGGAAAGGTTTAGGTAGGGGCTCTGATGTGTGGGCAAATTGTTAAGCACTATGTGATGAACGGTGCAATTCACTCCAACAAATTCTAAAGTTACTTCACTGAATGGCATTAAATCTTAAACACTGATTACAAACAATTATGTTTTATGACAACTATCTTATTACCCTCTTGTGTTTCTGTTTCATAAATATGATATATTAGACATAAGAAATATGTAAATACCCCCAAAAGGCTAAAAAATTCATCTACCAATCTCTATTTAGGATATTGTCTTAGGTAAGTCTCGTGTCTACCAGCCAATTCTTGTTCAAGTTAGTGCACTGTAAATACAAGTCTCGCGTCTGCCAGCCAATTCTTGTTCAAGTTAGTGCACTGTAAAACAAGTCTCGCATCTGCCGGCCAATTCTTGTTCAAGTTAGTGCACTGTAAATACAAGTCTCGCGTCTGCTGGCCAATTCTTGTTCAAGTTAGTGCACTGTAAATACAAGTCTCGCGTCTGCCGGCCAATTCTTGTTCAAGTTAGTCCACTGTAAATACAAGTCTCGCGTCTAACGACCAATTCTTGTTCAAGTTAGTGCACTGTAAATACAAGTCTCGCGTTACCGACCAATTCTTGTTCAAGTTAGTGCACTGTAAATACAAGTCTCGCGTCTGCCGGCCAATTCTTGTTCAAGTTAGTGCACTGTAAATACAAGTCTCGTGTCTTCCAGCCAATTCTTGTTCAAGTTAGTGCACTGTAAATACAAGTCTCGCGTCTGCCGGCCAATTCTTGTTCAAGTTAGTGCACTGTAAATACAAGTCTCGTGTCTACCAGCCAATTCTTGTTCAAGTTAGTCCACTGTAAATACAAGTCTTGCGTCTACTGACCAATTCTTGTTCAAGTTAGTGCACTGTAAATACAAGTCTCACGTCTGCTGGCCAATTCTTGTTCAAGTTAGTGCACTGTAAATACAAGTGTAGCATCTGCCGGCCAATTCTTGTTCAAGTTAGTGCACTGTAAATACATGTCTCGCGTCTGCCGGCCAATTCTTGTTCAAGTTAGTGCACTGTAAATACAAGTCTCGCGTTACCGACCAATTCTTGTTCAAGTTAGTGCACTGTAAATACAAGTCTCGCATCTGCCGGCCAATTCTTGTTGAATTTAGTGCACTGTAATTACAAGTCTCAAATCTACCGACCAATTACAAACCTTCTTCGCACTGGGCACCCTTCCATCCAGGACGACACTGACACTTCCCGGTAGTTGCGTCACACGAAGCTCCGTTATCACAGCTGCATTGTTGCTCACAGTTTGGTCCGAACTTCCCGAATGGACACGGCTGGTCACACTCCCCGCCATCAAAGCCGGCTGCACATGCGCAGTGTCCAGTGACGTGGTCGCACTCCGTACTACGGGGACAGTTGCAGATGCTCTGACACTCCTGTCCAAAGAATCCTTCCGGACACGCCTTCTCGCAAAATCTCCCACGCCACCCAGCAGAGCAGACGCACACACCAGAAATGTGGTCACATGCTGCACCATTAAGGCAGCGACAGCGCTCAAGGCAACCGGCGCCATATGTACCAATTGGGCACTCTGAAACACCAATGTCACATACCAGAATCTCCGTCAAGGCTTTGGGAACATTAGTAAAACATAGTAAACATTAAATCATTTTGATACATGTAGTGAGTGAGTGAGTTGGGTTTTACGCCGCTTTTAACAGTATTCCAGTTATAACACGGCGTGTCAGCTTAATGTGGGAGGAAAGCCCGAAGTGATGCAGGTCTCAGATGTTTACCACTTCGGTGAAACCCACGAGCACGGGTATGGTGCTGACAAATCTAGAAAAATAATCGGGGCGAACCGGGATTCCAACCCACAATCATAGGTTTCTGGCGTGCCCAAGGGACGCAACTCTGCACAGCGAATTGCGGCGCCTTAGACAATTGGGCCACCTGTGCCCCTTGATAAATGTAGGTTCATTATTGGTACACACAGCTATACAGGGACACTAAGGGCACATATTCAACACTGTACTAATTCAGATACACTGGGTCACTATGGGCAGTTATTAAACACTTCACCACATTGATATAGGGGACTCTATGGGTAGTTATTATACACTTCACCACACAGATATATAGGGGAATTAAGGGACAACATAGCATTGTAGATGAAGATCCTTGATCTCAACCCTGTTAAATGAAATGACAAAACTTCAAGTTTTGAAATAACAAATAGAGGTATCACAAGAAAGAAATTTGGGAGAGGCAAAATTTCAGATTATGATTTGGGGCAGAAATAGGGAGTGATATACAAGATCTTGATAGAAGTTGTCTTACTCTCGTCGCACCCGACACCCTTCCACCCAGGAGTACAGAGGCACTCCCCGGTCACAGGATCACACTCCGCACTATTCCGACAGAAGCACTTCCGGAAGCAGTTTTCTCCGAACGTGCCGGGGGGACAGGCTGATTGGATGAGAACACGTGCATTACGAGTCAGAGTTTATCATGCAGGGTCAGTACAGGTCATGACTCAAGGTCATTCAAGGTAATTTTTAATAAGGTCATTGTATATATAGGTAATTGCAATCAAGGTCATTCTAGGTCATTGCATAAAGGTCATTACAAATATAGGTACTTACATTCAAGGTCATTCAAGGTCATTTACAATAAGGTCATTGCATATTAAAATCAGTTCATTTGGGTGATTACAATGAAGGTCATAGGTAGGATCATTAGATGACAGTAGGAATTAATCTCCACACAGAGAAAGCATCACCAGGATCATACAGTCATCAGGAACTGAACAGGCACAAACCCCGAACTGTCAATTTAGAAGATATAACTTCATGGTTCTGACAGATTCTTTATCATTGCTGTGATCAAACTTCAGCACACATCTTGTCTCCAAACACTGATACTGAAATTGCAATGGTCAAGGCTGGGACACCAACTTAACAAGATTTCAATGTAATTATCATGAGGATGTAATGATGGGAGCATGTCCCCACCTCTGTCACAGATCTGTCCTGTCCATCCTGCTTTACACGTGCATCGGCCATCCTCCGAATCACAGGTGGCGTTGTTCTCGCACATGCACCGACTCATGCACTGGTCTCCAAATCGGCCTTTAGGACACCCTGCATACAAACAGACAGCAGATGTACACATGTACAATGTATAATTCATGTATACCACAGTGTTGTATGTATAATTCATGTATACCACAGTGTTGTATGTATAATTCATGTATACCACAGTGTTGTATGTATAATTCATGTATACCACAGTGTTGTATGTATAATTCATGTATACCACAGTGTTGTATGTATAATTCACATATACCACAGTGATGTATGTGTAGTGGCCATAAAATTTCCGAGTCCCGTGACGGGATTCGAACCACGGACCTTCTGACTGAGGTTGGACGCCTTGTCCACATGACCAAAGAGGTTAATTCCGTCAGCAAGCTGACAAGGTAAGGATGTCATCTGTGGGACGACTCCGCGCCCTCAACGGTCAAATGTTAAGGTGTAACCTAATAATGACTGACACCATGTAACCAAATTATTACACGGTATACAAACCATTTTCCACAAACTTTACTTCAACTTAAAGTGAAGAGACGCCCCCCCCCCCACTCCTCCCAACAACATAAGGATATTTGTTGTGTCAAATCCAATCACGTAAAATCAGATCTTTTAATCCAATACGACTCCTCTCTGTATCCATATATGACAAGCCCTCCACATGTTGACATACCAATAACATGTATGATGCTTAAGATTTGGAGCCTGAGCCTTTGGCCACAGCAAAACAAGGTATTGATGTTGTTACCTTCGCGACAGTGAGGTCCGTACCAGCCTGCTCGGCAGATGCACTCGCCCGACACAGTGTCACAGGTGGCGCCGTTCTCGCAGCTGCACTTCTTCCCACAGTTGATGCCCCAACTTCCATCCGGGCACGCTGCACACAGGCAGAACTTACAGTCACACACGTGCAGACACAAGAACATGGTGCTAAGACAGGAAGTACAACTAGGTACCGTATTTTCTTGAGTATAGTGCGCACCCATGTATAATGCGCACCCCCCTCTAGCGGATTCAATATTTTGAGAAAAAAAATTTTGAATACCAAGCGCAAAAATCTTTTTACACCGTACCTCTTCAGCGAAGTCCGGCAAACGAACGGGTGATGAGAAACTTGGTCCGTACAAATTCGAAATTTGAGATAAAAAATCACCAGACATGTTTCAAGGCGTCAATAGCGGTAATCTGACCGTGGTTGCTGTTAATAACGGTGAGTTGTGCGATCTTCTGATTGCTTCACACATGATTTCGCCGAAATTAATTAAAACAATATTAAAAGGAATTTTGAATAAAATTAATAAAATAAGTTACAAACATCATAAGTCCAGATATACAAAGAACACTTTTTATAGCCAGACAGTGTAATTACATGACTAATTTGCGTACTTCAGTGTGGATTTGTTGACATGGTATTTCCGGTGTTACCCGCTCACGGTAATGTCTTTCCATGGAGGAAAAAACATCACAACTCATTAATTTGTATATAATGCGCAGCCCCTTCTACACAGCTGTGTTTTTTGGAAAAAAAGTGCACACTATACTCAAGAAAACACGGTATCTGTTGTAAGGCATGTAGTACATGTACCTACCATGATTGTAATTTATCCATAATGTGATGCTTCGTCAATTCTACTTCAAGGTCTCTAGAATTAACGTTTTCATGCTATTGTAAATCTTTTGTAAATGAAGCTGGATCATACTTGGGAACACAGAATCATTCAACAATGTGATGCAATGATTATGTTATGACCTGTCACATGGACTTATGATGATCATTATTATGTATATTATTTGCGTTTATGGAGGTATAAACATTAATCCAATTTTGGGGGGGTTTATGGAAACAAATGCAAAAACAATTGTTTTGTTAGTCAATCAAATGCAATGGAATTATTTGCAATTTATTTTTTTCACAATGTTGGTTTGGTTTGTTTGTTTGTTGTTTAACGTCGCACTCGGCAATATTCCAGCTGTATGACGGAGGTCTGTAAATAATCGAGTCTGGACCAGACAATCCAGTGATTGACATCATGAGCATCGGTCCTCGCAATTGGGATCGATGACATGCATCAACCAAGTCAGCGAGCCTGACCACCCGATCCCGTTAGTCGCCTTTTACGACAAGCATGGGTAGCTGAAGACCTATTCTACCCCGGAATCTTCACGGGTCTTCACAATGTATTGCTATGACTGTTGTGTGTCTTGGTTTTAGCCATGGACACAGAGACATTCCTAATGTGGTGCTGAGATCATTGTCCAGGTAAGTGTAGATTGTAGACTCGCAGAACTGCGGAATTGTATTTTGTTGATTAGTACTCAAACGAAAAAGAAAAATACACGCTTAAGTTAACTGAACTAAAGATGTCTGTTCTAGTGGGTTTGAGAGCAGCTAGTCTACACTGCGGCTAGAAACTGGAGGAGAGTTCTCATGCTCGGATCACGCAGTCAGAGTGAGTGAGTGAAAGAGGGGCACTACGTCTCACGACCATGGTCCGTCAATACTTTTGGAGCAGGCAAACCATTTATCAACAGTGAGACTTGAACCCCACCATCAGGGTGAGATGACACACTGGATGGTTTTTGATGGTCACATGTAAAGACCTTTGCATCGTCTAACTTTAATCACCATTTATGATAAACAAGATGGATGTCAGTCACCAAATTTGATCTGGAATCCCAACAGGGAGACATGTTTGCGATACTGGGGACCTACTCTGCTCGGGAATCACTACAGGAAAATGAGCATGGGGTACTGGGGACCTACTCTGCTTTGGTAGACAAGCATTGGGCACTGGGGACATATTCTGACCTGAAACCCAACAGGGAGACAAGCATGGGGTACTGGGGACCTACTCTGCTTTGGTAGACAAGCATTGGGCACTTGGGACATATTCTGACCTGAATCCCAACAGGGAGACAAGCATTGGGCACTGGGGACCAATTATGACTTGATTGCCAACAGGGAGACAAGCATGGGGCACTGGGGACATATTCTGACCTGAATCCCAACAGGGAGACAAGTATTGGGCACTGGGGACCAATTATGACCTGATTGCCCACAGAGAGACAAGCATGGGGTGCTAGGGACATATTCTGACCTGAATCCCAACAGGGAGACAAGAATGGGATGCTGGGGACCTACTCTGCTTTGGTAGACAAGCATTGGGCACTGGGGACCAATTATGACTTGATTGCCAACAGAGAGACAAGCATGGGGTACTGGGGACCTACTCTGCTTTGGTAGACAAGCATTGGGCACTGGGGACATATTCTGACCTGATTGCCAACAGAGAGACAAGCATGGGGCACTGGGGACATATTCTGACCTGAATCCCAACAGGGAGACAAGCATGGGGTGCTGGGGACATATTCTGACCTGAATCCCAACAGGTAGACAAGCATGAGGTACTGAGGTAATGGAATGAGGACTTCATGAATAGATGCATCACTGTCATTACCCCTTATTTCACAACGTTTTTAACTATCACCTCTCCAACATCCTTATTTCTTATCAGCCTCCATGTGAAACTCACGTTCTTGGCATTTCTTGCCCGTTTTACCAGCCTTGCACGAACAAACGCCAGTCTCGGCATCACACAGACTGCCCCCGCAGTCACACGTCAGCAAACAGTTCTCCCCGTGTTTGCCCCCAGGACATGCTGTAGGCGGGAACAGAGCATGCCAGGAAAAGAAAGGGGGATAACTCTAGATGGATCAAATCTAAGAGCACTGTCAGTTGGAGTTATTGTACCTGAGACACACTATGTCTCTCTACCAATGCTTATGATATATGATAATATATATGTAAGAATGTTTTATCGTACATTTGTTTTAACAATGCACTGAGCAAGATTCCGACTATATGACGCTGATCTCTATTTTAAGTAAGCTCCCAATACTAGTTTAAGCGTGAGGTAACTTGGGTCTTGGTCATTCACTACACAGCTAACCAAAGGTTGAAAATGGTTATTTTGTAAACTCTAGCATGTTTAGTATGTGTGATAACTTGTTCCAAAATCTTCTGTAGACATAAATCACAATAAGTCTGCTTTGAACGCAGATCATCCACAACCAGCTTCTACAGGAAATTTGGTGAGATTAAGTATTATCTCCTAAGAAATTCCAGCTCAGTGCAGCCCATTGTGAAGTCATCAACCAAATGACATCCTTAATCTCTCTGCCACTGAAGCTGGTTTGCTGTGGGGTTTTCAAATTACACTGATTGTTACTGTTTGATGATAAATAGAATATCAGACTCATATTTAAACTTTATTGACTTGTGTCAAGATGTTTGATGTCAAGAGACATGAAGGGCTTTGTAGATGTAATATCTATCAAATGTTGTTGTTGTGGTTTGTTGTTCGATGCCGCACTCAGCAATATTCAGTCTATATATGACAACGGTCTGTAAATAATCGAGTCTGGACCAGACAATATAGTGATATTTATCATGAGCATTGATCTGCGCAATTGGGATACAACGACATGCATCAACCAAGTCAGCGAGCCTGACCACCCGATCTCGTTAGTCGCCTCTTTCGACTCTCCTTTTAGGACAAGCATGGGTTGCTGAAGATCTATTCTAACCCGGATCGTCATGGGTTAACCTCTTAATTGAGTTGTGACAGCTACAGTTAGTTAAGCCTCTGTGGCAACTACAACATCTACAAACTCCAACTGACAGTGAGAAACAAATATGGCAAAACAAAAGAAAATAAGGACAAAGAAACATGTAGGCAAAATACTCCACTACTGAAAGCTTTAGTTTGAGATTGCATGCTCTAGAGAACTAGATCTGACTATATAGTCTAATTAATCTGACTATATGTGACATCAATCTGACTATACTCTCAGGCAGGTTGGAAGCAACTCTGATGTCAATGTGTTGTCCCAAGTGTCCACCATTAGCAATCAAGTTCCCACTGCTGTTCATGTTATTGAAATTTAATGCTCTCAATAATGTTCCACAACACTGAGATTGTTGCCGTTAGAAAAGAATTGAAATAGGAAACCATTTTTTTTCACAAACTATGAATAATGTAATCTTACAGTATATTGATTTGAAGCTTTTTTTATTGAACACAACAAAAAGATAATTATCCCGCATATAACATTAACAACCTGTATGTGAGTACTCACGTTCATCGCAGCGCTGGCCGAACCAGCCGGAGGGACAGTCACGCAGACAGTAACCAGTCACATGGTTGCACTTGGTGTCCGCGGGGCAGTCGCACTTCTTGCTGCAGCTGGGTCCGTAACTGTCCTGCGGGCACTGGAACCCACACTGGTCACCATGGTAACCAGGCTTACAGTAGCAGTCACCATTCTGTGGATGAGGAGGGTGTCAGGAATATTTATAGACAGGAGTAATGGTGAGTGAGTGAGTGAATAGAGTTTGAAATGACTTCTAACGTTTAATCACTTGGCTTCCCCGCTGACCTTACTGTGTAAATGAACAACAGAGGCTGTAAAGTTGCCCTGAGTTGGAAAATGAACGATAGAGGATGTAAAGTTGCCCTGAGTTGGAAAATGAACGATAGAGGATGTAAAGTTGCCCTGAGTGGGTAAATGAACAACAGAGGATGTAAAGTTGCCCTGAGTGGGTAAATGAACGACAGAGGATGTAAAGTTGCCCTGAGTGGGTAAATGAATGACAGAGGATGTAAAGTTGCCCTGAGTGGGTAAATGAACGACAGAGGATGTAAAGTTGCCCTGAGTGGGTAAATGAACGACAGAGGATGTAAAGTTGCCCTGAGTGGGTAAATGAACGACAGAGGATGTAAAGTTGCCCTGAGTGGGTGAATGTATGACAGAGGATGTAAAGTTGCCCTGAGTGGGTGAATGTATGACAGAGGTTGTAAAGTTGCCCTGAGTGGGTGAATGTATGACAGAGGTTGTAAAGTTGCCCTGAGTGGGTGAATGTATGACAGAGGATGCAAAGTTGCCCTGAGTGGGTGAATGTATGTTAGAGGTTGTAAAGTTGCCCTGAGTGGGTGAATGTATGACAGAGGATGTAAAGTTGCCCTGAGTGGGTGAATGTATGACAGAGGATGTAAAGTTGCCCTGATTGGGTGAATGTATGACAGAGGATGTAAAGTTGCCCTGAGTGGGTGAATGTATGACAGAGGTTGTAAAGTTGTCCTGAGTGGGTGAATGTATGACAGAGGATGTAAAGTATCTTTAGATCATGCTGAGTTAATCTCTGTATCTGTAATTCATACTTGGTCAAACAGTGTGTCCACAGGTCTATCTGGGTAACCAGGATAGCAAGTACCTTCTTTAGGTCACACAATCTAACTTGAGGTCAAAATACCAATGTCAGGGTTACAGTACTCTCAGGGTCCATGACATACCACAGGGCCACACCATTGAGCACAACATGACACTATTGACCTTTGGGTCATACCACTGTATCACACTACTGACCTTGGGGCATAGCACTGACCTCAAGATGACACTACTGACCTTGGGTCATACCACTGTATCACACTACCGACCTGGGGATCATACCTATGTATCACACTACCGACCTTGGGGCATAGCACTGACCTCAAGATGACACTACCAACCTTGGGGGTCATACCACAGTACCACACTATCGACCTTGGGGTCATACCACTGAGCACGACATGACACTACTGACCATGGGGTCATACCACTGGGCACGACATGACTCTACTGACCATGGGGTCATACCACTGGGCACGACATGACTCTACTGACCATGGGGTCATACCACTGATCTATGTACTGACAATAGTAATCTCGGGATGACATCACATACCTCTGGGTCACACTTCTTGGTGTACTCAGTGTTGCAGTCACACTGCTCCAAACAGTTGGACCCCCAGGTGAAGGAGGGACAGGGCTGGTTGCAGGCGGGGCCGTACGTGCCAGGGTCACACTCACAGTAGCCGAACACACGGTTGCAATAGCCGTTGGTGCACGGCTTGGGGCACATCTTGTCACATCTTTCACCAAAGTATCCAGGTGGACAGCCATCTTGGCATCGGTCACCGGCGACCCCTGGTGGACAGATGCACTTGCCTGTCACATGATCACAGGTGCCGCTGTTCTCGCAGGTGCACATTTTGCTGCAGCCGTCGCCATAGTTACCCTGGAAACATGTCAGTGATGCAGGAAGATGAGTTTCAATTTTCCTGGTTTTAAAACATTTGTGATTATTTGTCACATGATTACAAGAACTAGAATTAGTGTCATGGCACTGTAGTCCTTCTGGACATTTAGTCTGACCTCTGTAGTAATGTGGAAAGGTTGTACTTTTGTACCAGCAACCTCTGGACAAGACTTATTACAGAAGAAATTTGCACTTCTGTAGTACCTAGCTCCAGACAAGACTTATTACAGAAATTTTGCACATCTGTAGTACCTACCTCCTGACAAGACTTGTTACAGGAAATGCTGTACTTCTGTACTACCTACCTCCTGACAAGACTTGTTACAGGAAATGTTGCACTTCTGCACTACCTACCTCCTGACAAGACTCGTTACAGGAAATGCTGTACTTCTGTACTACCTACCTCCTGACAAGACTCGTTACAGGAAATGCTGTACTTCTGCACAACCTACCTCCTGACAAGACTTGTTACAGCAAATGTTGTACTTCTGTAGTACCTAGCTCTGGATAAGACTTGTTACAGGAAATGTTGAACTTCTGTAGTACCTACCTCCTGACAAGACTCGTTACAGGAAATGCTGTACTTCTGCACAACCTACCTCCTGACAAGACTCGTTACAGGTGATGCCGATCCATCCTGCTGTGCACTGGCAGCCATCTTGTTTGTCGTTGCACTTGGCGCCGTTGAGGCAGTTGGTGCAGGTGAGCAGACAGTTGGGGCCGAAGGACCCGGGGATACACTCTGGAGGGGAACAACATTGTGGTAAGTTGGAGGAAATATGTCACATCCTGCAATAAGCTGATTTACTTGTCAAGCCATTTCTCAACTCATATATGAAACACAATGACACTGTAAAGAAAATATTTTCAAAAATTAATATTAACAAACTTAAATTAAAATTGATTCAGAGTTAATATGAAATAAAACTTTTACTAATCCAACAAAGTTTATATCCCAACACTGCATACTTCTCTGTCACTGTCTCACGGCAAAACAATAATCGTGTTCTCAATGTCATTTTTCTCTTTTATATTTATTGACTATTTTGAAAACAGTTCTTTTAATAAAATATTCCTTAAAAGAAATTGTATACCGTATTCAACGTAATAAGCGCCCATGGCGATATTTGCTAATATATTGGCTAGTGAACAATCCCAATTAGCACCCTTCTGATTGATCCATGTACACAAGACTTATTTATTCGTGTATAATACAAACTCATGTGTTATATTCACCCTTAATTATGGGCAATTAAATTCTGGAAAATATATCTGTCGGGTATGGTACGCACAGACTTTCCTTTTGGATCATTTCAGGCTGTCAGCAAAAACTACGAAAATTATGATCTTTCAAATCTTTTTTTTCTCACCAATATTATATTCTCATAAGAGCCCCCTATTTCTAATTTTGAGAGCGCCCCGGGCGCTTATTACGTCAAATACGGTATCTGACAAATGTCCCAGTGATTCAGTAACACTGGCTGCCAGAACTTTGCAAACATGATATTTATGTAATGCTTAGATCAGCTTTAATACGACTTCATCTCTTTTCAAAGTAGTTACCATCATTAAACAGATACTTCAGAATATGATGAAATTATTGCTGAAATTGCCTTTACAAAATTTTAATGTTAAAAATAAAATAAATACAATTTGCCATGTTTGTGTTTTCTCATATAGTTGTTACCAAATGTAGTAGACATATGTTAAGTTTAAACAAGAATGGAGACGGATTAGGATTTGACAAAGGGAATACCGAGAGAGTGGCAGAACATTAAAGCAACAAGGGGACATCACTCTGGATGTCTCGCCAGCGACGATGAAGCGAGTTGAGAAAACACATGAAACATGAGAATATACAGCCTGGACAGACAGTTGACATCAGGCACGTCCTGGACACGACAGACGAGCTTATACAGGACACCTGCTGGGTTATAACAGGACACCTGCAGGGTTATAACAGGTCATAACAGGACACCTGCAGGGTTATAACAGGACAAGTGCAGGGTTATAAGAGGACACCTGCAGGGTTATAACAGGTTATAACAGGACACCTGTATGGTTATAACATGAAACCTGCAGGTTATAATAGGTTATAACAGGACACCTGCAGGGTAATAACAGGACACCTGCTGGGTTATAACATGAAACCTGCAGGTTATAATAGGTTATAACAGGACACCTGCAGGGTGATAAAAGGACAAGTGCAGGGTTATAACAAGACACCTGCAGGGTTATAACAGATTATAACAGGACACCTGCATGGTTATAACATGAAACCTGCAGGTTATAATAGGTTATAACAGGACACCTGCAGGTTATAAAAGGACAAGTGCAGGGTTATAACAGGACACCTGCAGGGTTATAACAAGACACCTGCAGGGTTATAACATGAAACCTGCAGGTTATAATAGGTTATAACAGGACACCTGCAGGGTTATAACAAGACACCTGCAGGTCTGACACAGGACACCAGGTTCACAGGACATAGGACACCATGATACAAAGTGGGCTTAATGCAGGTGGACTTATGACAAGATAGATGGGCTTATAACACCAGATAAGCTAAATACAGGTCTACACATTGTCTTATAAAAGTTCAGGATGGACAAACCTGATTCAGGTGGGCATATAACCAGACAAATTTGCTATATAACCGGACAAACTTGATACAGGTCAATGAGTGGGCATGTGACAGGGCAAACTTGATACAGGTCAATGAGTGGGCATATAACCAGACAAATTTGCTATATAACCAGACAAACTTGATATATATAACCGGACAAACTTGATACAGGTCAATGGGTGGGCATATAACCGAGAAAACCTGATATATAACCGGACAAACTTGATATATATAACCGGACAAACTTGATACAGGTCAATGGGTGGGCATATAACCGAGAAAACCTGATATATAACCAGACAAACTTGACATATATAACCGGACAAACTTAATACAGGTCAATGGGTGGGCATATAACCGAGAAAACCTGATATATAACCGGACAAACTTAATATATATAACCGGACAAACTTGATACAGGTCAATGAGTGGGCATGTGACAGGGCAAACTTGATACAGGTCAATGGGTGGGCATATTACCGGACAAACTTGATACAGGTCAATGCATAGGCATGTGACAGGGCAAACTTGATCTATAACCGGACAAACTTGATACAGGTCAATGAGTGGGCATGTGACAGGGCAAACTTGATACAGGTCAATGAGTGGGCATATAACCAGACAAATTTGCTATATAACCAGACAAACTTGATATATATAACCGGACAAACTTGATACAGGTCAATGGGTGGGCATATAACCGAGAAAACCTGATATATAACCGGACAAACTTGATATATATAACCGGACAAACTTGATACAGGTCAATGGGTGGGCATATAACCGAGAAAACCTGATATATAACTGGACAAACTTGATAAATATAACCGGACAAACTTGATACAGGTCAATGGGTGGGCATATAACCGAGAAAACCTGATATATAACCGGACAAACTTAATATATATAACCGGACAAACTTGATACAGGTCAATGAGTGGGCATGTGACAGGGCAAACTTGATACAGGTCAATGGGTGGGCATATTACCGGACAAACTTGATACAGGTCAATGCATAGGCATGTGACAGGGCAAACTTGATCTATAACCGGACAAACTTGATACAGGTCAATGAGTGGGCATGTGACAGGGCAAACTTGATACAGGTCAATGAGTGGGCATATAACCAGACAAATTTGCTATATAACCAGACAAACTTGATATATATAACCGGACAAACTTGATACAGGTCAATGGGTGGGCATATAACCGAGAAAACCTGATATATAACCGGACAAACTTGATATATATAACCGGACAAACTTGATACAGGTCAATGGGTGGGCATATAACCGAGAAAACCTGATATATAACCGGACAAACTTGATATATATAACCGGACAAACTTGATACAGGTCAATGAGTGGGCATGTGACAGGGCAAACTTGATACAGGTCAATGGGTTGGCATATTACCAGACAAACTTGATACAGGTCAATGCATAGGCATGTGACAGGGCAAACTTGATATATAACCGGACAAACTTGATATATAACCGGGCAAACTTGATACAGGTCAATGAGTGGGCATGTGACAGGGCAAACTTGATACAGGTCAATGGGTGGGCATATAACCAGACAAACTTGATATATATAACCAGACAAACTTGATACAGGTCAATGAGTGGGCATGTGACAGGGCAAACTTGATACAGGTCAATGGGTGGGCATATTACCGGACAAACTTGATACAGGTCAATGAGTGGGCATATTACCAGACAAACTTGATACAGGTCAATGGGTGGGCATATTACCGGACAAACTTGATACAGGTCAATGAGTGGGCATATTACCAGACAAACTTGATACAGGTCAATGAGTGGGCATGTGACAGGGCAAACTTGATACAGGTCGATGAAGGGCCATATAACCGGGCAAACTTGATATATAACCGGACAAACTTGATATATATAACCGGACAAACTTGATACAGGTCAATGAGTGGGCATATTACCAGACAAACTTGATACAGGTCAATGGGTGGCCATATAACCGGGCAAACTTGATACAGGTCAATGAGTGGGCATATTACCAGACAAACTTGATACAGGTCAATGCATAGGCATGTGACAGGGCAAACTTGATATATAACCGGACAAACTTGATATATAACCGGGCAAACTTGATACAGGTCAATGAGTGGGCATATTACCAGACAAACTTGATACAGGTCAATGAGTGGCCATATAACCAGACAAACTTGATACAGGTCAATGAGTGGGCATGTGACAGGGCAAACTTGATACAGGTCAATGAGTGGCCATATTACCAGACAAACTTGATACAGGTCAATGAGTGGGCATGTGACAGGGCAAACTTGATACAGGTCGATGAAGGGCCATATAACCAGACAAACTTGATATATAACCGGACAAACTTGATATATATAACCGGACAAACTTGATACAGGTCAATGCATAGAAATGTGACAGGGCAAACTTGATACAGGTCAATGGGTGGGCATATAACCAGGCAATCTTGATACAGGTTAATGAGTGGGCATGTGACAGGGCAAACTTGATACAGGTCAATGGGTGGGCATATTACCAGACAAACTTGATACAGGTCAATGAGTGGGCATATAACCAGACAAACTTGATACAGGTCAATGGGTGGGCATTTGACAGGAGATGCTAGGAGAGCAGATGCTAGACAATATATTTTTTGTTGAGTATCTGTCTCAGGAGGAGTAAAGGAAACTTCTCATAGACATCTGGGGTATTAGGGGTACTTATGATTGCAAAATCAGCATTGCTAGAAACACCCATAAAATATCTCACGTCATGTACCCTGAAGAAGCAATCCTTATCCACAGTGATCAAGGACCAAATGTATTTTCTTGCTTTGCAAACAAACATATCAATCAAATATGCTGTGTCTGCATATTTATATTTAAGCTTTCAAGTTTTATTTTAAGAAATGAATTCCAATCAACCCTGATGAATCTGTCTCATCCCTCATCCCTCTTCCCTCATCCCTCTTATACTGACTAAGAAAATATGTACACAGGATAAAATACAGTGGTCCAGCCTAATGAAATAAATCTACATCCAAGTCCTAGGATCTTGATGAGGGACGAAGATTAAAGTGTGTATTTGATGTTTTCCTGGAAGAGAAGAGTTAGCCCTGGAAGACCTGAGACAACAGGGCTGGAGGGATAGCTCTCTTGTACATGGAGATGCTGAAGTAGGACAGCTGACATTAGTGTACAGAGAGTGTACACATGACTGTACAGAGACAATGTTTGACAAATAATGGTGACAAGAGCGCTAAACTAGACATGCAGTGCCAGGGGTGTCAGGTCGCGCCGACCTCCTGTATACTTACTCTTGTCCACAGCTGCGCAATAAGGAACAAAATACTAACATGAAACCACGGCAACCATAGAGAGAGGGCAAGTCAAGGCCTGTCGCCATCACTTCATCGACAACTCTAGTAAGAGTGATATGGATATATAAGATGGATGTATATCACCATTCCACAGGTAAGGAGGTAGTAGGGATATATATCACCACTCCACTGGTTAGAGCTCTACTCAGGAGGTAGTAGGGATATATATCACTATTCCACTGGTAAGAGCTCTACTCAGGAGGCAGTATAGATATATATCACCACTCTACTGGTTAGAGCTCTACTCAGGAGGCAGTATAGATATATATCACCACTCCACTGGTTAGAGCTCTACTCAGGAGGCAGTATAGATATATATCACCACTCCACTGGTTAGAGCTCTACTCAGGAGGCAGTATAGATATATAATACCACTCCACTGGTTAGAGCTCTACTCAGGAGGCAGTAAAGATATATATCACCACTCCACTGGTTAGAGCTCTACTCAGGAGGCAGTATAGATATATATCACCACTCCACTGGTTAGAGCTCTACTCAGGAGGTAGTAGGGATATATATCACTATTCCACTGGTAAGAGCTCTACTCAGGAGGCAGTATAGATATATATCACCACTCTACTGGTTAGAGCTCTACTCAGGAGGCAGTATAGATATATATCACCACTCCACTGGTTAGAGCTCTACTCAGGAGGCAGTATAGATATATATCACCACTCCACTGGTTAGAGCTCTACTCAGGAGGCAGTATAGATATATAATACCACTCCACTGGTTAGAGCTCTACTCAGGAGGCAGTAAAGATATATATCACCACTCCACTGGTTAGAGCTCTACTCAGGAGGCAGTATAGATATATATCACCACTCCACTGGTTAGAGCTCTACTCAGGAGGCAGTATAGATATATATCACCACTCCACTGGTTAGAGCTCTACTCAGGAGGTAGTAGGGATATATATCACTATTCCACTGGTAAGAGCTCTACTCAGGAGGCAGTATAGATATATATCACCACTCTACTGGTTAGAGCTCTACTCAGGAGGCAGTATAGATATATATCACCACTCCACTGGTTAGAGCTCTACTCAGGAGGCAGTATAGATATATATCACCACTCCACTGGTTAGAGCTCTACTCAGGAGGCAGTATAGATATATAATACCACTCCACTGGTTAGAGCTCTACTCAGGAGGCAGTAAAGATATATATCACCACTCCACTGGTTAGAGCTCTACTCAGGAGGCAGTATAGATATATATCACCACTCCACTGGTTAGAGCTCTACTCAGGAGGCAGTATAGATATATATCACCACTCCATTGGTTAGAGCTCTACTCAGGAGGCAGTATAGATATATAATACCACTCCACTGGTTAGAGCTCTACTCAGGAGGCAGTAAAGATATATATCACCACTCCACTGGTTAGAGCTCTACTCAGGAGGCAGTATAGATATATATCACCACTTCATAGAGGCTGTATGGATCTGTACCTCTCTGTACATGTAGATAACCACTTCAGAGAAGCTATCCAGATATACGTCCGAACACTAGAGAGGCAATATCGATATATACCACTACTCTAGAGAAGCAATATCTACATATACCACCACTCTAGAGAAGCAACATTGATATATACCACCGCTCTAGAGAAGCAATATTGATATATACCACCGCTCTAGAGAAGCAATATTGATATATACCACCGCTCTAGAGAAGCAATATTGATATATACCACCGCTCTAGAGAAACAATATTGATATATACCACCGCTCTAGTGAAGCAATACGGTTATATATCAAGACACCAGTAGCTCCTGGTTAAGACTGGCCATATGGAGTCTGCCTACTCCACTAGGTATTGAAAACAGACTGACTGATGGTATTGAAGTCAGCTGGCAGTATTTAGTGGGCTCATCTCAATAACTACATGTAAGTGTTAGCATATCGAGACATGTTAGTCAGATTGTCAGGGGACCTACAAACAAAATATTTGCTATATTCTACACTGATGCTCAAAACAAGTTTCAAAAACCTGACTGCATCTTTTCAAGATTATTATTATTAACAACTGTTATACTAAGACAAAAATCTTTAGGCACGCTTCTGCCTAGATGTTCTCTATAGCAATACTGGACTTGAAGCTTTATCTCTACACCTTGTTACCATCACTCTCTGATAGGGTTCTGATAAACAGTTTTTAAAGGTTATTATGACTATGTAGGATATATATATATATATATATATTAGTCCTCTACCAATTAGCATGTGACTGTCATTCATTGGCGTAAGTGGTGTGGTGGTATCGGAGATTCCAGTGCAGAGTGTGTGAGAAGTGTGAACAATTGTGTGTGACACAGTCGGATCATATATATGTGTGTAGTCAGTTGACGACTTAATGATCGAATGAGAAAAATGATAACATTATAAAGAAAATAACGGAGTGCATGCCGCTCAACATGAAGTGCCAAAAGTCAACAATGGCCGTTTCTGGTAGTTGTGTGCCGAGAAGTTTGGCCAAAACTTTCTAAACTTGCGATATTTTCTTTTTGAGGTAAATAACTACTGAAAGTTTTGATATTGAGCAAGCTGAGCATTTATGCATGTCATATGTAATTTAAATGTTACGCAAAGCCTTCTTGGTAAATGGATATGGTGAGTTTTATTTGTGGGTGTCCTTATGCTATTCGTCTGTCGAGCTGGTTGGACAATAGCAACACGGCTAGTGACTCACTCTGTCGAACTGGTTCGACAGTATAGTGTTGAGAGCTTTAACGACTTGCTACAATGTGGGACTGTATAGTCAGCTGATGACTAAATGTGTGAAGCACTGACAACTCTAAACAATATGTTACAATATGTGACAGTGTGTGTAGCAATATGTACAATGTGTGACAGTGTGTGTAACAATATGTGACAGTGACAGTGTGATTGGTGAGACTGAAACATCCCTGTGTATCAGGTTGCGTCAAGTGAAGCAGAGAAGTGTGAGAACGTGCTACCTCCAACATGTGAGTAATGCTGCATCAAGAGTCAAGTTTCTCACCACAGACTAACCCAGGTGGTTATCTATTTTCAAACATGTTGAATTATTTATTTTCCATTTGAAGGTTTGAAATAAGTTTTGACATAACCAATTCCAACGATAAGCTGATCAGCCATGCTATGCAAGGTTTTCAAGCCTTGGATAGACATTTTGATCAAATTGTGATTTAAAGTTGGATGGTTCAGAAATGGAAATATAACCAAAAAAATATAATTTGCATACCTCAGTATTTCCCTAGAAATAAGTGAGAAACAAGAACATTCTTGATGCATTGTAAGTGATGTAGGGTTATATACCAGTGCCCCGGAGTTAGGTATAAAGGCGTGGCACGACTTACCCACATTGTTGTCATTGTAGGGGAGATCGGGTGGGGCTAGCAGTTAAACAAATACACATTACTGATCGGCAGGGCAAGATATGTACACTACTCAAGCTTTGATAGGAGCAGTGAGATATTCTGCTAAATATTACATTTGATTAATTTGGTGCAGTAGGGGTGAGGCGAAATTGGGTTTAATGTCGCGTCCAAGGTTATTGCACTTATATAGCGACATGCATGCACGTGTGTGTGTGGCTGCTTGTACTAGTCCGGACTGATGCCGATTTATAGTGCTAGCCCACTGAGATACCATGCCGCAGTTTAACATGAATACCCCACTCAGACACAGTATACTGACTCCGAGCCGACCAGTCCTTGTTTTAGCCCCTTAATGCCGAGCGCCAGACAGGGTAACAACAAGTACCATCTTTTAACGTCTTTTGGGATGACACGGCCGGGGATTGAACCCCGGACCTTCCGCTCTCTGGGCGGACGCTCTACCACTAGACCACGGAGGCGGTCTGGTGCAGTATGGAACAATAAGAATGTCTATGAAATGTTAAGCAATATTCTGTGTCTCACTATAGTGATGAAGTAACAAGTCACCTCAACGTTTGATTTTAACAAAACCTGTTGACTGACATACATCCTTAATTATTGGACACCCTATTATTATAATACCCTTGATCGTGGAGGATGTACTGAGTGCATAAAAATATCAAGGTGAAATAAACACATCTAAGTTTCATTCCAACTGAGTCTTGAGAAACACAACATCAATCTTGAGAAGATGCAATACCCAGTAGATACAGACAGTCCTCACACCCCATGATGAGACTCCACCTTCATCAGCATCAGGTGATGAAGGAGTGATAAGTAAGGATAAGAATTTATGGATGAACAACTTCTTTATTACAATTGAGAGCGACGTTTCGGTGTTGTTTGGTTTGAGGACTGCATATATCTAGTCAATCAATATTTATATGTTTGACTTATGGAAATTTAATACAGAAAAAAAATGACACACACACATCTGTCATTTACTGATATGTACAGTTGAGGAAGTACCTTCAGTTACTAGAAATGCAAAACTGGACATTTTTTCATAAAAAAATACATTTAAACAAATTAGTTGTTCAGTTGTGCATTTCCACCTATGAAAACATATCAGAAACAGAATCCAGAAATAAATGTCTTACTTTCCAACTGAATCTTGTCATGCATGTCACTGCACGCTACACAACAAGACGCTACGTCCGATATCTAGCATATTATCTAGCCAGGACAAGTCAACACTGTTACACGTTGTCAGAAGATAGTGTTGATATTGATGATATCAACACGAAAGTTATGACAGTTCACAGAATAAATACCTAGTTGTTCGAAAATTATTTCAAATTAGCAAACCAATGAAAGTGTTCAGGATATTAGCACTTTTAGAACAAAACAAAAATGTTTTAACATTTACTTTTTCAAATTAAATTTAATGCATTAATATGAAATAAATAGTACATCTAAGAGTGGGTAGTTTTTATTCGTGTAAATTTGAATATGTTTGAGATGTTTGACTTGTGATGGCCCTGTCATGCCTGCGTCAAGGGAGGTAACCATGAGAAGACTTACTGTAGCTAGTGGTGGCCTCGGCCAGTTCCTGAGACAGGAGGATGTTGTAGCTGTCGTTGACGGGGATGACGGGGCGTGGTGAGGTCTCGAAGCGGGGGAAGGGCAGGTCTCCTCGCTGGGGTCCCAGGTCCTTCACACGGACCTCCTTAGCTGCAGGAACAGAGAGCAGATCTTTGTAAAGCACAGGTCTTGTTTCATGGATGAAACGCTATTCACAAAGTCACCACGTCCCGTGGAAAGGACATATGAGTGCACATTTCTACCAAGAATGAGATTCAAGTGAGTGAGTGAGTGAGTGAGTGAGTGTGAGTGAGCAGTCAGCAATATTCCAGCTACATCAGAGCAGCCTAAACAATACACTCCCAGCATGCACACAATCAGCTGTGTCACCCGGTTTCCGCGTTAGTCGCTTCTTCTACTCACAAGCATGAGAGATTCAGGACCCATTCTGCAGGGTTGTATGCAATTTTTTTGTTTTGTTTGTTGTTAAACGACGCACTCAACAATATTACAGCTATATGACTGTGGTCTGTAAATAATCAAGTCTGGACCAGACAATCCAGTGATTGACATCATGAGCATCAATCCACGCAATTGGATCCATCAAGTCAGACAGCTTGACCACCTGATCCCGTTAGTTGCTGCTTACGACAAGCGTATTCGCCTTTTACGACAAGCATGGGTTGCTGAAGACCTATTCAACCCCGGATCTTCACAGTTCTCATATGCAAGTGGCAGCCAAGTGAGTGGGCATTCTACTCCACATGTAGTGTACATGATCTCACCTCGACACCGCCGTCGGTCCCGCTCCAGGTCGAAGCCTTGTTTGCAGGCACAGCTGTACGAGCCCTCCGAGTTGACACACAGCTGTTCACAGCCGCCGTTGTCCGACAGACACTCGTCCACATCTGGAACAAACACACAGGCCTCAGTGTGACTTGGTGATAACACATAGTGAGTGAGTGAGTGAGTGAGTATGCTTTTACGCCGCTTTTAGCAATATTCCAGCAATATCACGGCAGGGAACACGAGAAATGGGCTTCACACATTGTACCCATGTCGGGAATCGAACCCGGGTCTTTGGCGTGACGAGCGAACGCTTTAACCACTAGGCTACCCGACAGGCCCCGTAATAATACATAGGTGAGTAGGCAGGGTTCTGACTCACTGCCAGACATGTTGATGTTTGAACCTGGTCTATAGCAAACTATTTGTTGCACATTGTGCATGTTACTTGAAATTTGTTTTTATTTTGATTGGTTAGTTGACACAACAATATAACATATAGCTCTCATTGTAAGTGAGTGAGTGGGTATTGTTTTACACCACTTTTAGCAATATTCCAGTAATATCACAGCAGGGGACACCTGAAATGTGCTTCACACATTGTACCCATGTTGGGAATCAAACCCGGGTCTTCGGCTTGACGAGCGAACGCTTTAACCACTAGGCTACCCCATCGTCCTAACTCTCATTGTAACATGCAAGACAAAGAACGCAGAGCTGAACTTGTTTTGTTGACGACATCTTATGAATCTTACATATTTTGAAATTAAACAAGGTTTGGGAAACATAGGGATTTTACAGCAGACTCTACTAGTTGATGACTTGATCCATGAGCAAGAGTTATGTCCCTTGCACTGTGATATCAACAAGGCAATGCAAACATCTGTTAAAGAAAATGATTGAAGCGCTGGTTATTTTAACCTATGCACTTATGAAAACAAATACATATGAAACTTAGCGCTATTCTGGCCCTGGAGTGAGTGAGTAAGTTACTGATATCTGGACCAGATGTCACAGAAGCAACAGTTCAGACAAATGGCAGTGAGCGACGTAATGAGCCGTGTTTAATTATTATCTCATAACCATTTGCAAAGCTGCACTATCCTACACGCTGTAGGTCGAGACCCGTGGCAAGGAGGGGGGAACAACATCCACGTGTTGGCAAACATGGGTCTCGTCCCTCCTCCTGATAGTCTTGTGGTCTGACACAGACCGATCAGGTTACAGACGAGCCCACTTCCTGGTGTTAACAAGTACCGTATTCAACGTAATAAGCGCCCAGTGCGCTCTCAAAATTAGAAATAGGGGGCGCTTATTAGAAGATTATTTTGAGTTGAAAGATCATAAATTTCGTGGTTTATGCTAACAGCCTGAAGTGTTTACATACAACAGATATATTTTTCAAGAATATAATTGCCCATAATTAAGGCTGATATAACACACGAGTGCGTATTATACACGAATAAATAAGTCTTGTGTACATTGATCAATCGGAAGGAGTGCTGATTGGGATTGTTTACTAGCAAATATATTAGCCAATATCAGTGTGGGCGCTTATTACGTCGAATACGGTAGATGTTTCTGTCAGGACGTACAAGAACCAGATCCCACTGGAATGCCATCCGGAGTTTCACCTGGCACGGAACAGTGTTCTGTATGCATGTATTTGTATCCATGGTAACACATTTGTATAATACAATACCTGAATAACTAACATTCTCACTATTTCCCCATATATCTAATAAAAATAACTACATTTATAGGAGATCAAGTATCAAAATTACCAAAATATTTTTAGATCTTTGATTTATGATCATATTTTTAATGGACCTTATCAAGTGAAGAGACAGATGCTTGAAAAAAAGGAGGTGTCCTCTGGATGAATGCAAATTCACAGCTCGGGGGGTCAGTTACATATCCCGTCATAATTTAGATACATCTCGTTTATTTCACTTACATGATGAATATATGTGTGAAGCCCATTTCTGGTGTCACCTGCCGTGAGATTGATGGAATATAGCTATGAGGGGAGTAAAACCAAACTCACTTACTCACCAATTACCGTACAGCGCCCCGTTCCTCAAAGCGTTCTTAGTGCTATAATGATCGTAAGTCTATGGTAAAGTATGGAACTTAGATCACCTTAGCGCTAAGATCGCTTTGAGGAATGGGGCCCTGGAGCTGTGTTTCTGGTAAAAAGACTGCTGACTCTAATGTCCTTGACAGCATATCGTGTAATATCAACACAAACTGAATGAGTTTCTGTTTCATCACAAGAAACTGAAATACACTTCTCGCATGATCTTAGAACATCAAAGATTCGTAACAAAAACTGTCATAAGTGATATAAATGTATCAGGCTATTTAAACTTTTTCACAAGTTCTGTTTTTGGAAATATGCTGGATCTTGTTATAAAGTAAATAAAACTTCTATAAAACTAAACAAGGCTTCCTTTCACTTCCTGTAATATTGCTGACTCATGACTGCGAGTCTGCCTGGTTGCCATGATAGTGTTTTACTTTGTGTTTTTCCTAATGAGATCGGAATCTGTAATCTCATACATCGTCAGCCCCAAACATGGCCTGACAGCAGCGTAAAAAATGTGACACCAATTTGTTGACGTGAATATGATGTTGTTGCCATGGTTTGTTAGTGTCAATGTGATTGGGGACAAATACATCACTCCATACACACGAGGAGACACACCAGTTAGTGTGAGTGTGTAGGGCTGATTGGGGACAAATACATCCTTGCATACACACGAGGAGACGCACCAGTTAGTGTCAGTGTGTAGGGCCGATTGGGGACAAATACATCACGGCATACACACAAGGAGACACACCAGTTAGTGTCAGTGTGTAGGGCTGATTGGGGACATAAACATCACGGCATACACACAAGGAGACACACCAGTTAGTGTCAGTGTGTAGGGCCGATTGGGGACAAATACATCACGGCATACACACAAGGAGACACACCAGTTAGTGTCAGTGCGTAGGGCTGATTGGGGACATATACATCACGGCATACACACGAGGAGACACACCAGTTAGTGTCAGTGTGTAGGGCCGATTGGGGACAAATACATCACGGCATACACACAAGGAGACACACCAGTTAGTGTCAGTGTGTAGGGCCGATTGGGGACAAATACATCACGGCATACACACAAGGAGACACACCAGTTAGTGTCAGTGCGTAGGGCTGATTGGGGACATATACATCACGGCATACACACGAGGAGACACACCAGTTAGTGTCAGTGTGTAGGGCCGATTAGGGACAAATACATCACGGCATACACACGAGGAGAACACACCAGTTAGTGTCAGTGCGTAGGGCCGATTAGGGACATATACATCACTGCATACACACGAGGAGACACACCAGTTAGTGTCAGTGTGTAGGGCCGATTGGGAACAAATACATCACGGCATACACACGAGGAGAACACACCAGTTAGTGTCAGTGCGTAGGGCCGATTGGGAACAAATACATCCCTGCATACACATGAGGAGACACACCAGTTAGTGTCAGTGTGTAGGGCCGATTGGGGACAAATACATCACGGGATACACACTAGGAGACACACCAGTTAGTGTCAGTGTGTAGGGCCGATTGGGAACAAATACATCACGGCATACACACAAGGAGACACACCAGTTAGTGTCATTGTGTAGGGCCGATTGGGGACATATACATCACGGCATACACACGAGGAGAACACACCAATTACAGTGAAGCTTCTAGACCACTTTTTATATTTTGGAGATAATATTAGTAGATTGTATTTCTCTCTGTGGCACAGATGCAGGATGTTTTTGATGGGGTTGCAGTAGTCTCTGGTAACACTGCAAGAATATGAGAACTGTACTGGACTCACCATCACACATACAACCGTCTATATACAGCAGGAATCCTGTCTGACATCCGCAGGTATAAACTCACCATCACACGTACAACCGTCTGTTCAGCAGGAATCCTGTCTGACACCCACAGGTAAAAACTCACATCACTGTTCTGTAGGAATCCTGTCTGACACCTGCAGGTATATATAAACTCACCATCACACGTACAACCGTCTCTATACAGCAGGAATCCTGTCTGACACCTGCAGGTATATATAAACTCACCATCACATGTACAACCGTCTGTTCAGCAGGAATCCTGTCTGACAACCGCAGGTATATATAAACTCACCATCACACATACAACCGTCTCTATACAGCAGGAATCCTGTCTGACAACCGCAGGTATATATAAACTCACCATCACATGTACAACCGTCTCTATACAGCAGGAATCCTGTCTGACAACCGCAGGTATATATAAACTCACCATCACACGTACAACCGTCTGTTCAGCAGGAATCCTGTCTGACACCCGCAGGTATATATATAAACTCACCATCACACATACAACCGTCTCTATACAGCAGGAATCCTGTCTGACAACCGCAGGTATATATAAACTCACCATCACACGTACAACCGTCTCTATACAGCAGGAATCCTGTCTGACACCCACAGGTATATATAAACTCACCATCACACGTACAACCGTCTCTGTTCAGTAGGAATCCTGTCTGACACCCGCAGGTATAGCCTCCAGGGTTGTTGTTGCAGGATTGAGTACAACAGTTGTCACCAGTCTGACACTCATCAATATCTGTAAAGATTGAAAGGCAAATGAATCTGAAACCTAAACCTAATTTAAATTCCTCCAGACCAATGAATGTTCCCGTACTGCAGTATTCTACATTAAGGGGAAAAAGGGTACAAACTAACGGGGTCCCAAGATTAAAAAACTACAGGAACAAACTTCCAAGACACCGAGACCCACTTGCACAAAGCGATCTTAGTGCCAAGATGATCACTCCCACACTTTAACATTGGCTTACAATAGCCTTAGCGCTAAGATCGCTTTTTGCAAGTGGGCCCTGGTGTCTTGGAGGTTTGTTCCTGTAGTTTTTTAATCTTGGGACCCCCCACATCACAGGGCAATGACAAGGACCCCTTGACCTTCATGTTAAATTTCAAACACCACTGCAACAAAAAGTAGACAATATATTTGAAAAATACTGTAAAGTTCAATCTCATAAAAATCAGAGTCAGAATGACCTATCGCAAACTTTGACCAACCAATGCAATGACTTATGAACAGGAAGTCAACAGTAGCCACTCAGAAAGCATCTTTCTCGAGCTTTATGACACAAGTGACAAAACAGCGACTTCCATTCCAGACTATGCTTTGAAAAGAGTTTTGACAAAATTTGAAAACTGAACAAAAGAAATTTCGGGAATGTCTAATAGATGGCCTAGATGTATGGAAAGCCTTCTGTTTCCTATGTTAATCTCAATGGGTCAAGACAATGACTAGCATTCAGAATCAGTCGTTCCGTCGTTTGGAATGCCCATCGTTAACCAATACAAAGTTGCATGATTAGAGTGAGTGAGTGAGTGAGTGAGTTGGGTTTAACGCCGCTTTTAACAGTATTCCAGTTATATCACGGCGTGTCAGCTAAATGTGGGAGGAAAGCCCGAAGTGATGCAGGTCTCAGATGTTTACCACTTTGGTGAAACCCACGAGCACGGGTATGGTGCTGACAAACCTAGAAACATAATCGGGGCGAACCGGGATTTGAACCCACAATCATAGGTTTCTGGCGTGCCCAAGGGACGCGACTCTACACAGCGAATCGCGGCGCCTTAGACGACTGGGCCACCCGTGCCCCCTGAATGATTAGAAGACACATTCGGACTTTCACTTTTGTAATCTTGTCAACGATACTCTGATTGGTCAGACGAAAGGTCGCTCTGACGTGACATCTAATGGGATCTTTGTTTTGTGGTAGTGAGCACTAAGATCTGGTTTTAATGAGATTGTTATTCAGCTCTGATAAACATAAAAAAAATTCTCTTATGACATTCTATGAAACTTAAAATATATTTCCTTTTTAACGAAAAGCCTTTTCAGAAAAAAAACACTTAAATTCCTATATAGATCTAAATGTTACATTGCTACGACGTACGTCTCTTACATTTTCCTTGATAAAATAATGTAATTGACCTCCATTTGCTATCAACAATCCCTGTTCCAATTATACTACTCTTAACATTTAAGCACCACCAAAGTCTTTCATACTGCTGCAGTTAATTTGTCATGGCATAACCTTTTCAGAGTGGTACATTATTTTGTGTCGCCTTCATCTCGGCCTGGGAGATCAATAAAATGAGAAACACGTTAAGTCTGGTCAATGGATATGAAAGGTTAAAAAAAACTTTTTACATTTAGTTCTGAGGTTATGAAGTGCCTACATTGTGATCATTGACTTAAAGGCAGTGAACCAGAACCTACATTATGACATGAGTGGGTGTTCTTATCAAGGGGTGTAACGACTGGGTAGGGATTGATCAAACATCGCAACTGTTATGGAACAATAAATTGATTACAAGGTAAAATATCAATAGTTGACATCAATACCATACTAGACTATATGAGTGATCGTTTTGATGTATGTAATAAAACATAAAAAAATGAACTAATAACCTTGTTTGAAGTGTAAATAACTTATTTCCCTGCAAGCTTCTGAACATGGGACATGGCCGAGATGGCGGACATGTTGGAACATGCCATCGTCTGGAGGAAGCAGCGCAGTGTAACCATGGTGACACTGTTGCAGCAGTAAGACTGCTTCACACTCCTAGTCACTCAACACAAACAGACACTGCTCAGCCAGAGTGGGTGAGTGAGTTGGGTTTAACACCACTTTGAATAGTATTCTTGGTACTTTTATCACAGGGTTTCTGATTGTCGTGGGATAAAGCCCAGAGTTATTGGTTTGATTATTTAATGCAGTCAAGCTATATTGCAACTTTTCAATGGCTGTCTGTTCATAATCGAGCCTTGACCAATCGAGCCAGTGATATTATGAGCAACATCGCCCGCTGATGGGCTGGGTTGACACGCCATCATCAAGTCCCGACCCTGACCACCTTATATATATAGTTGCCTCATGGGCAAACATGGGTTACTGGGAACCTGTTCTATCCTGGAATCTCCAGACAAGCATGGGTTACTGGGAACCTATTCTATTCTGGAAGCTCCAGACAAGCATGGGTTACTGGGATCCTATTCTATCCTGGAATCTCCAGACAAGCATGGGTTACTGGGAACCTATTCTATTCTGGAATCTCCAGACAAGCATGGGTTACTGGGAACCTATTCTATCCTGGAATCTCCAGACAAGCATGGGTTACTGGGAACCTATTCTATCCTGGAATCTCCAGACAAGCATGGGTTACTGGGAACCTATTCTATCCTGGAATTTCCAGACAAGCATGGGTTACTGGGAACCTATTCTATCTTGGAGTTTCTAGGCTTGTCAGCACCATACCCGTGCTCGTGGGTTTCACCGAAGTGGTAAGCGTCTGAGACCTGCATCACTTCGGGCTTTCCTCCCACATTAAGCTCACACACCATGATATAACTGGAAAACTGTTAAAAGAGGTGTTAAACCCAACTCTGTCCTGGAATCTCAAGACAAGCATGGGTTACTGGGCTTGACAACAGTATAAGGATCTATACCGAAACGTCGCCTTTACAGTATTAAAGAAGTTGTTATCCATAAATTGTGTCTACTTTGTCATCCGTCAACTTCTAAGTAATTCCTATCAAACAATACATCTTCAATATGATATGATTGCACTGTGCACATTTTAAACTTGACAAAAAGATAAAGTTACCTTCACATGTTTTGCTGTCGGCTTGTAGGTTATATCCCTTGCGACATGAGCAGATAGCGCCACCGGCACCGTGGCGGCACTTGTGGGCACAGCCTCCATTGTTGACTGCGCAGTTGTCAATGACCTCCATCTCGATCCCTGCCACACACACAAGGCAGAATACTGTCAACTCTCGCCACATCGCCAATTGTTAACTTTCAATTGCAATGTTAATCCAGATCACAACTTTATCCAAATCAGGGATCAGAGTGTTAAAACTTTGCAAACAAGCGTGGTATATAAACCTTTACAGTCAGGTAGCCACAGTTTACGGATGAATACCTTATGGTGATTAAATCAAATACACACATCCTGACTTGCACTTAATGTGTTAAAATTAGCAGCTTTAGATGCATCCAAGGTGCTGTATTAGCATTCAATGCACATCCTATCTGCAGCTTCATTTGTTCCGAACACACACGGACAGTCCACATGCAGTTGCTCAGCTAATCTCTGGAATTTCAAGTTTCAAGTTTTCAAGTTCAAGAAGAAATTGTCATCTTATCCAATGATATCAGAATGTCATTAAACACTAAGAGTGCGTGGTGACAGTGATGGTGTCTTTACAACTAATCCTGAGTTCTTCAGGTTGTCTCTGATCACTACAAGAACCACTTGCAATCTGGTCTGGTTCTTTTCCATAGATTAATTATCTGGTATATAGGTTAACTAAAGGTTTTGTCAAGGCCCATTTGCCTCACACTTTGCTAATGTTAACCAGACACCTACTCATGATAAAAAAAAAATAATTAAAGTAAACATCCTGTTCCTCCGTCCAAAGAAAACACATTTAAAGAGCAGACACAAATTTCATCCCTATAAATTGTATCTTTCAAAGCCAGTTGTCAGACAAGCCATATCAGACATTGTCACTTAAGGTTTAATTTACAAAGAAGAGCAGCAGGGAAATAGCACAATGGCCTTCCCAAGATGGCTGCCAAGAATAATGTTAGTTTGACTTGAGTCAGATAAGAGTCGGCACATTAATGTGGATGCAATGCATTCTATTAAACTTACAAAGGAACTTATCAATGACAGGGAGACATCTGTAACAGTAAACCAGGCAGTATGTGACAAGTTTTTATCCACTTTCTACAAAAATAAGAAACTTAATAAGTAAGATTGGACAGCACAGGAGAGGTGAGACAGAATCAGACAACATTAATGTGAAGTGACAGAGGATGAATAACTTGTTAAAATTCCTGAGACACTTCAATGCACACAAAGATGGTATCTTAACACTTTAATTTTGTTTCTATGGATAGCTGGCTGAGAGGTCTACAGAATTTACAATTTTGGGGTTGAGAAAAGTGAAAAGGTAGAATGAGAGATAAAGTTTTAGGCCATGATCAGACATATTAAACTATAATACATGAGCAAATGGTGGAATCAGCCATATCACACCAGCCAATAGTGGAATCAGCCATATCACACCAGCCAATAGTGGAATCAGCCATATCACACCAGCCAATAGTGGAATCAGCCATATCACACCAGCCAATAGTGGAATCAGCCATATCACACCAGCCAATAGTGGAATCAGCCATATCACACCAGCTAATAGTGGAATCAGCCATATAACATGAGCCAATAGTGGAATCAGCCATATTACACCAGCCAATGGTGGAATCAGCCATATCACATGAGCCAATGCTGGAATCAGCCATATTACACCAGTCAATGCTGGAATTAGCCATATTACACCAGCCAATGGTGGAATCAGCCATATTACACAAGTCAATAGTGGAATCAACCATATTACATGGGCCAATAGTGGAATCAGCCATATCACTCCAGCCAAAAGTGGAATCAGTCATATCACTCCAGCCAAAAGGAGGAATCAGTCATATCACACCAGCTAATGAATGACAAGCAGTGTGCTAGGTTTATGGTATGGGCTTCAGTACAACAGCAACATTGTAGTCACAGGTGGTGCAGTCAAGCCTGAGGCAAGCCAGTGGTTAACAGTGTGAACACAGATCCCTGCCAAAGGTAGAATGACACATTCAGCAAAGTTTTGCACCATGGTCAGCGGTAATACTGCTACATCAAGGTCGCATGTCCAGTCAGCATCACAGCAACCTCATTGGTGAACCAGGTGTCTGGAGCAGACAAACCAGTGGTTGATAGTGTGAACAACCCTCACAGCAGAGGTGAAGGTGAAATGGGGTTTATGTTGCGTTTTTGGAATATTGCCCTGTATAGCAACATGTACGCACATTTGTGTGTGTGGCTGCTTGTACTAGTCTGGACTAACGCCGATTTTATTGTGCCAACCCATTGAGATTCTATGCCAGAGTTTAACATGGATATCCCACTCAGACACAGTTCACTGACCAGTCCTTGTCTTATTCCCTTAATGCCAAGCACCAGGCAGGGTAACAATAAGTACCATCTTTTGGTATAATGTGGTCGGGGATCGAACCACCGACCACCCCTTCTCAGCTAGGGCAGATGGTCTATCCACAGGGGCAGCTTCACAAGAAAGTGTGAATGCTGTCGTTGTCAGCCAGCCAAATGATATTCCGATTCAGCAGACATTTTGGCCAACTGATCCCCACTGAGTTGGCCACAACAAACATGAGGTACAGGAGCCTGTCCTCCTCGGAGCCTCTAGAGGCAACTAAAGCATATTTAACAGAGAAGGGCTAATTTACAACAAGAGTACAATATCCATCTACCAGATACCTTTATCTTTTTGTCTATATCCCTGTTTCCCTTCGCGACTGGATCCTAATAGGTATGCAGTTAATGAGCAAAATATGAATCATAAATTTTAAAATACTTAATCTAGCCTATTAAAAAGAGTGCAAACTTTCACATAAGGTTTTCTTATGATATAATACTAAGTGGTGGAGGCTTTCTTATAGAGTCTATTGTGTGTTTTTAAATGATTAATTCCTCGCCTACAGCAAGGGTGTGACAGATATCAAATAGTTAACTTCTTTCCACGTGTCACACACAAACTAAGGTTTTCATATCCAGATGTTTGATAAAAGGGCGTGGCGGCCACACTATCAAGTCAATCTCTATACAATGTTCATGTCATAAAAATAAAAACAACAAATCATATATGCGCTGGAAATGTTTGGATAACGGCCTGTCAGTAACGATGTAATAACCATCCTTCTTTCAACAGCTGGTATTTAGAGTAACACGCTTCTTGCAAATACAGGAAAAAACACTTCAAAAGTGCCTTAAACTGTAAAACTAACTTGAAGGCAATTAACAGTTAATTCTTCAGCATAGAGAACACAGTTAGCACAACTGGCAGGTTCATAAAACTGTACTTATCCCCCCCCCCCCCCCGGCATGAATAATCTGTGTGTAATTAAGTTTGGCATGCTGTAATGGATGGACTCAATAGACTGTCACAATAGTTGGAAGCTGAACGGTGGTTGTTTTTATTTTCAGCGGGAACATCTGTACTGAGTGTTGTAAATCTGTCCCCCTTGCCAGGTGTGTGTATGTCTGTCCCCCTGCCAGGTGTGTGTAAATCTGTCCCCCTGCCAGGTGTGTGTACATCTGTCCCCCTGCCAGGTGTGTGTAAATCTGTACCTCCCTCCCAGGTGTGTGTAAATCTGTCCCCCTGTCAGGTGTGTGTAAATCTGTCCCCCTTGCCAGGTGTGTGTATGTCTGTCCCCCTGCCAGGTGTGTGTACGTCTGTCCCCCTTGCCAGGTGTGTGTAATTCTGTCCCCCTGCCAGGTGTGTGTAAATCTGTCCCCAATGCCAGGTGTGTGTAAATCTGTCCCCCTTGCCAGGTGTGTGTAAATCTGTACCCCCTGCCAGGTGTGTGTAAATCTGTCCCCCATGCCAGGTGTGTGTAAATCTTTCCCCCTTGCCAGGTGTGTGTAAATCTGTACCCCCTGCCAGGTGTGTGTAAATCTGCCCCCCTTGCCAGGTGTGTGTAAATCTGTCCCCCCCTGCCAGGTGTGTGTAAATCTGTCCCCCTGCCAGGTGTGTGTAAATCTGTCCCCCCTGCCAGGTGTGTGTAATTCTGTCCCCCTGCCAGGTGTGTGTAAATCTGTCCCCCCTGCCAGGTGTGTGTAAATCTGTCCCCCCCTGCCAGGTGTGTGTAATTCTGTCCCCCTGCCAGGTGTGTGTAAATCTGTCCCCCTGCCAGGTGTGTGTAATTCTGTCCCCCTGCCAGGTGTGTGTCAATCTGTCCCTCCTGGCCAGGTGTGTGTAAATCTGTCCCCCCTGCCAGGTGTGTGTAAATCTGTCCCCCATGCCAGGTGTGTGTAAATCTGTCCCCCATGCCAGGTGTGTGTAAATCTGTCCCCCATGCCAGGTGTGTGTAAATCTGTACCCCCTTGCCAGGTGTGTGTAAATCTGTCCCCCATGCCAGGTGTGTGTAAATCTGTGCCCCCTGCCAGGTGTGTGTAAATCTGTGCCCCCTGCCAGGTGTCTGTAAATCTGTCCCCCATGCCAGGTGTGTGTAAATCTGTCCCCCATGCCAGGTGTGTGTAAATCTGTCCCCCATGCCAGGTGTGTGTAAATCTGTCCCCCATGCCAGGTGTGTGTAAATCTGTCCCCCATGCCAGGTGTGTGTAAATCTGTCCCCCATGCCAGGTGTGTGTAAATCTGTCCCCCTTGCCAGGTGTGTGTTAATCTGTCCCCCATGCCAGGTGTGTGTAAATCCGTCCCGCTTGCCAGGTGTGTGTAAATCTGTCCCCCATGTCAGGCGTGTGTAAATCTGTCCCCTCTGTCAGGTGTGTGTAAATCTGTCCCCTCTGCCAGGTGTGTGTAAATCTGTCCCCCTGCCAGGTGTGTGTAAATCTGTACCCCCCCTGTCAGGTGTGTGTAAATCTGTCCCCCTGAAAGGTGTGTGTAAATCTGTCCCCCTTGCCAGGCGTGTGTAAATCTGTCCCCTCTGCCAGGTGTGTGTAAATCTGTCCCCCTGCCAGGTGTGTGTAAATCTGTACCCCCCCTGTCAGGTGTGTGTAAATCTGTCCCCCTGAAAGGTGTGTGTAAATCTGTCCCCCTTGCCAGGTGTGTGTAAATCTGTGCCCCTGTCAGGTGTGTGTACGTCTGTCCCCCTTGCCAGGTGTGTGTAAATCTGCCCCCCCCTTCCCCCTGTGAGGTGCGTGTAAATCTG